AGGCTTTTTTTCTTTCTGACAACTTATCATTGGGCCTAGCTTGTTCAATCATGCCTTTTCCAGCTTTTCAGAGGTGGTTTTCATATGTGTTGAAAGTAACTATTGCATTCTGCAGGGCTGAAACAATCTGCAGAAAGGTACATTTGACAATAAAAATGATCAAGACTTTTTTTCTTCCTGAACGACTTATCATTGGGCCTAGCTTGTTCAAATTGTGCCTTTTCCAGCTTTTTAGAGGTGGTTTTTGTATGTGTTGAAAGTAACTATCACATTCTGTGGGGCTGAAATAATCTGACATTTCATGTAAGCACCTCCTGCAGAGACGATCATCAAATCATCTGGTGGCTCTGCCCACTGAAATGTGATTCCTGCCAGAGGATATAAATACAAATCTTGCAATATTACCAACCTATATAGCTTATTGTTCATGATGCAATTGGAATTTTTTTCCTTTGACAACTCTGTCCATGTTTGCTCCGACGGTGCAACTATTTTTCACTCCGATGGGGTGTGCTCCAACGGTGCAACTCCTTTTTCACCATTGGGGTGTGCGCCTGCAGTGCAACTACTTTTTCACCATCGGGGTGTGTGCCTGCAGTGCAACTATCTTCCCACCATCGGAGTGTGCTCCGACGGTGCAACTATTTTTCACTCCGATGGGGTATGCTCTAACAGTGCAACTACTTTTTCACCATTGGGGTGTGCGCCAACAGTGCAATTATCTTTTCACCGTTGGAGTGTGCTCTGACAGTGCAACTAATTTTTCATCATCAGGGTGTGCACCCGCGGTGCAACTATCTTCCCACTGTCGGAATGTGCTCTGACAGTGCAACTAATTTTTCACTGTTGGGGTGTGTGCCAACAGTGCAACTATCTTTTCACCATTGGAGTGTGCTCTGATGGTGCAACTACTTTTTCACTGTCAGGGTATGTAGAGTCATTTGTTGACCTTATGAATGAAATCATTCACATGTGGAGGGGGTTAGAATACATTCAAAAAGTGGACAGGAAGGTAGGTGCAGGTATACACCTACCAGTAAGAATTGAGGAACCATTGGTGAAGTGCTGGTGGGGCATCCAGAAGGCTGCAGTACAGAGAGACACATTCATGGGAAGTTTACAATTAGATTAGGACTCTACTACTAAGAGTGGCAGAACTATTGTTGTAGTGCTGGCAGTGCATCCAGAGAGCTGGTGTGGTGCCCGCGGGACATACAGAGCCCCACCGTAGGTGCCTAGTTGCCTCAGGGAGATGCACATGGCCACCCCTTTTGATTGTAAGAATGGCTGAACCATTAGTGCAATGCCAACAGAGCAAGGCTAGTGTGGTGGCCATGGACCAGACAGAACACTACTGTCAGAGCCTAGTGACTGTGGAGGAACAGGCATCCTGCGGACCAGACAGAACACTACCATCGGAGTAGCAACTGCAGAGGGATAGCCTATAGGCACCCGCGGGGCATTTTGAGAGGCTCTGGCCGGTCCGTGGGTAAAGGGATATTGTAGAAAGACCGGCTGGGCCGGCTAGCCCATGTTTTACAAGTGATTGTCACATCCGGCTACCATGTTTGGTATGTGACATAGTGACTGAACTAACTACTCAGGTTGGCAACTAGTGTTTAAAAGTCTGGTTAGGTTAGGTTATTGGGTGCCCAGGGGCTCTAACTGAGACCAAGACTGGTTAGGGTTCATTTCCAGACCCAAAATAACCTAACTGGACCAAAGATAACCAACCAAAACCGGTTAGTTGCAGTTACTAACCAGTTAGGACCGAAAAAATAGAAAATCGATTAAAACAGCATATATTTATCCTATTTCTTGCAGTAAATATTATTGCCATGTATCATAGCTTTAAAATAAGCCCAAGAACGCTAAATTCGGTGAAGAATTGACAATTTTATGATAATATTCTTGAAAGCATACTCTTTTGGCCAATATTTTAGCAATTTGATCATAATTTTATCGTTTCTCATGCTTTTAGATGTGTTTTGAAGGGGTATAATAGGGTTGGTTTTAACCGGTCATAACCTGTTTTTAACGGTTAGTTAACTGCATAATAACCGGTTATTTCATTTCCAGAATTGACTAACCACTAACTGCAGTCTGGTCTTTTTGCGGTTAGGTCTGGTCTGGTCTCAGTTATTTTCTGGTTAATTAACCGGACCTTCAAGCACTATTGGTGGCCCATAAGCATTAAATAATATCTGTCAACCGTCGTCTCCATTGATAATCCTTTGGCCACATAAGTACTCAGGTGACGTGAAGAAGACTCCCACAGTACTGGCCAGCCCTTCAGCAGATGTGTGCCATGCGTGCCACTCCAAGGCCTCTGAACTTTCAGGGTTGTGGTCCAGGATATTCTGATATAGTGTTCTCATGAAGTCTTTGATCCCCCCAGAGCGAACCCAGATGCCCCAGGGCGGCGTTTCAGACAATCTGTGTTCTGCCTCCTCTTGACTCTTTTTGACATCTTGTCTAGCTGAAGCTAGCTCATCTGCTAATCCCTTCCTCAGTTCTTCGCATTTTGTCATCTGTTTCTCCAGTTTGGTTTGTTCAGCATCTAACTCCTTCAAACATCAGGAGGTGCTGACTTGGGTAAGTAGCTACAAATACCCTCAGTATCCTGAATACCTGGGTACACAAGTCCCCTAATCCATAGTTTCCATAGTCATCCTACTAATCTCAGTAGCATCAGTAATTTCCTGAGCTCGGTAGGTAGCTCTGCATTGTGTGTGTTGCTCTGTTTCTACAGAAGCTACCAGGTAAACCGGGGCTCTGTAGCCAGGTCTAATCATACATTGTTTGCATTGTTTCTGATCTATAAAGGTTACTGGTTCACAGTACACAATGGGTAGCTGGTCATTTTTTTGAACCCAAAGTGACAGTAGTGATTGGGAAGCATCATGGTATTGTGTATTGAGAGACAAGGTATATACATTCAAGGTGCTAGCCTAATCATGAGCTCTACTAACTAGAGACGAGGAGAGCAAGGGGGTGTTAGTACGACGAATGATGATAAGAATCCAGGAAAGTAAATATTGCCTGGAGATGAGGAGAGAAAGGGGGGAGGGGGGTAGGGTGAGTACAACAAACACTGACAAGAGACATGGAAAGTACACACCATATCGAGTAGAGGTGAGAAAGGGGGGGTAGTACTAGAAACACCAGTAAGGGACTATGCACTGCCTGGAGATGAGAAGGGAAAAGGGGGTGAATATGGCGAACATAGATGAGGGAGAATTAAGTATGCAGACATGCTCACATGCATGAGGGTAGGTTGGTCAGCACTGCCTGGAGACAAGGAGGCCAATGGGGTGTGAGTATGGTGAACGTGGATGGGGACAGATGGAAACACGCACATACTGGAAATGAGGAGAGGAAACGCGGTGAGTGTGAGTTGGCCAACAAAATGAGGAGGATGTATGCACGCGCAGACTAGAAGAGGGTGGTGAGTGTGGAGAACGTGGATGAAGAAGGAAGGGATGCACTGACTAGACAAAGAGGACTTGAATGGAAAGACTTACACGTTGGCGATGTGGTGCAAGGGGCTAGCGACCGAGCATCTGCTGAAATCAACCCACCCCAAGGGGTCATGGGATTCTTCATGTGCAGTCCCGAAAAGGTTGTCACGCTGATGCGGCATGCACTCTGCACATGATGGGCTTAGATTCACCCTTCCTAGACATAAATAAATGAGCTGCTGCAGAGCCATCTGATATGTAGAGAAATGAAATTGCTTTTTTCCAAACCACCCACTTTCCCAGTTCTACTCACAATGGCATCAAAACCCCGCTCTCGTATAACTGAGCTGACCTTGATTAAAGTGCCAGGCTCTACCTTGGGCATTATGACAAGTATTGACACAGAAGGGAGGCACTGTCGAGTGTGATTTGTGTCATTCAGATATCACATTGACAGTAACAGCCCATCCCCGTTTTTTTATGATCATTGACGACATGCAGGATGCCTACAAGCTCGAAGAAGGCAAGGACTTCCAGACCCAATTGCGTGTAGTCTTTCAGTGCCACGAATTCCCTATATTATTGTAACTCCATCTCCAGCACAGTCATCCAGTTTGGAACATATTCAGCATGAAACATAGAGATCAATTAGCTTAGTTGTGACAAGACGTGACCATCAGCTGTGGTTGTGATGAATCCCACGACCCCTTGGGGTGGGTTGATTTCAGTGGATGCTCGGTCACTAGCCCCTTGATGTGGTGGGTGGGGGGAAGAAAGAATGGATTTCCGTGTTGGGAAATTCAAAAATCAACATAGTCACATGGTGTTGGAGTTTCAACAGACTTCAATTTGACATGAGCACATCAACGACTTCCTCACCAGAACCTCTACATCCTCTCATCACTGGAGCCTTGCCATCTGCAACCCCACCATTGCCTCAGCAGTCGTCACATGGCCACCCTCTGTTCACACTGACAGATACACCTTCGACACAGTCACCGCCTTGCTTGTCTCATGGCCGACCAGCATACAACCCCTCCAACTCTCCAACACAATTGCTGTGACTGCTCACTCTCCCCGCTCATCCTCTTTCAAATCTTTTGCCTCTTTCCCTCTCAGCTGAAGCTCTCCTGCTTTCCAATCCCCATTTGCCCATCTGGTTTCCACAGCCAGTGCACTTATCAACTGTATACATGGCCTCATGGTATATTCGTGTGACCCCTCAACCGATGATGACATTGAGGACAACATGCATGACACAAGGGAATGGAAGGAAGGTGGCTTGGTCTCATGGCGACAATGTCACCACCCTTGGGGCGTTGATAGAAGCCCAGCTTTGCTTGTTCATCGTGCCCTTTTGTAAGCTCCAAATGTCAAAATGTCACTCATTCATCTCACTGACCCTTCTATTGCTCAGGTGCCGCGTTGGTCATCTTCAAATTGCCAGCTGAATTAAGCCAATACCACCCCCTCGCCTACGTTCATTGGTACACTCCCCTCCGACACACCCCTGATGATTTCAACACCAACATGTTCAGAAATCTTCACCATCACAACTTCTCCCTTCTACAATATTTAGTTGATCTTCATATATTTCGGAAGTCTCTTCGCCGCACAGAATAACAATTTTTCTTTTGAATTTCATTCATTTTTGCCCTTCTTTTTAACTACGGCTGCTTTACTCCTTCTACTGAAGCTACCAGTCTCCAGTGAAAGGATATTGGGACTACTGACACTTGCCAGACAAATATGGGAACTACTGACAATTGCTGGATAGCTACTCAGGAAATGTACATAGTGTTTGGAAGTCTGGTCACAGGACTGGAAAAAGACTGTGACCAGACCGGACCGTGACCGATCAAGACTGCAAATTATCAAGACCGACAAAGACCATAACCGCGGTTCGGTCTGCAGTCCTCTACAGATTCCAAGTTTTCAAGACTGAGCAAAAACCGGATTAACTGGTCAAAGACCGGTCTTTCGAGCCTTGAGTCTTGAGGGCCGAACTTATAATATATTTAGTATGTACCTCTTATGTTTTTGATGAGAACCAAATAGTAATGCATTCATCAACAAACACACAACTTCCTTCTCAACCACCACCACACCACCATCACTGCGACCACATCCAATTTGTCACTGTGTCACCATTGCCACCACCAACCGCTGTCAACCACCCCAACACTGATGACAACCTGGCAGCGCCATGTCACCAACCCAACAGACAAACGACGATGACAGATGGTGATGACCTGGCACATCAACAGACGTGCCACATCGTCCAGATGGTGATGATGCTGCATTGACGCATGTCGTCGTCCCTCTTCATATCAGTCTAGGTGAGTAGTGTTCATCCCCTCCCCCTCTTCTTTTCTCACATGAGAAGTAGGGGCCATGTTGCAACTCATGAACAACAACGACACACAGATGAACAACGGTGATGCACGGATGGACAAGGAGGATGGACGACGACACAGCATGGCACTGGATGTGCCACGTCGTCACTGGCACTATTACTGGAGGTGAGCAATGTGACTGCTCTCCCCCTCACCTTTTTTCACACAAAGAGTAGGAGCATGTCGTTACAGCAATGTGGCCACACCCAACAACCACCACCTCCCTGCTTGACCACCCCCAACCACCGACGATGTGGCCACACCATGTCACCAGCTGAATGGATGAAGTGAGTGCATGCCATTTCGATGGTTGACGTGCCACGTCACTTCAATCCAGGTGAGCCCTCCTTTCTCACTCCTTTGTTCATGAGAAACAGGGAGGATGTGGTGACACCCAATGTCAATAAAAGACAGTCAAGAGCAACCAAACTCATCCCCCACTTCTTATTTCAAGCAGGGCAACATCGCCATCAGTGCCTGCTTGACGACGACATAACTGATGAATGATGACGATACATGGACGAACAAGGATGGATGGTGTGGTTACCCTTGCGCGTTGCTACCAAGTCATGTACATTGTCCCCCTTGTACTACATTAAAATACTTAGAATATTGTTGTTTTGTGACCACCTTACCCCAACAAAGACCGGTTTGGACCAGTTGCAAACCAGTTAAGACCAGAACCGGTTAAAACCAGTCTTGTAACCGCAAAAGATTGCATAAGACCAGTCTGTTGCGGTTCGGTCTGGTTTTTTGAAGTTTCTTGAAATGGGAGGACCGGTTACACCCAGTGAAAACCCTGCTGGTTCAAATTGGATGAAATCTGATGAAAGTGAATCAATTCTATCCAAACAGCCAAAATCAGTTGATATTGACCACATATCCTTGGCAAAGGGCACCGTGCCTAAAGATAGATCTAGCTTGCCAATCATACACACATCTTGCTTGTCAAAACGGTTCAAATCTGTCTGGATCGTTATTTCTCTTCCAACAACCCTTTGTAGCCCTTTGTATAACTAGTGCACCTGTGCAACAACATACACAACACATCCTTGCTGTAAGCTCTCCCACACTATCATCATGCCATCCTTAAAAGAAATTTTCATGCTTTCCATTAACATTATCCCTCTTCCATCTCCCCATGATCTCCCCCTACTTATATCGCTAAGTCAAATGACTGCACCACTGGACAAAGCTGATCACGCATCCACCGACCATCTGAGCTCACCAACATCAGTTACATGAGGTGTTTGTTTGCTGTCTCCTTTCATAGTTTCTTTCTGATCTTGAACCATGCACAGGTATTTTCTCCATCTGATGATGTGGAACAACTCGGTAACTAATATTGAGCTCCATAGTACATGCAAGAGATATCAAGATAGTCAAACACTGCCAATGTATGGACCTATGGTATGTCTCATTCCTGCAGATGTCGAGCTCAGGCTGACTAAGAACCAAGACAAACATATAGTGTTTGGAAGTCCGGTCTCATGACTGGAAAAAGACCGTAACCAGACTGGACCAAGACCGCAAAAGACCAGACCTGCAGTTATGGTCTTTTATTTTTGAGATGTAAAGACCGCAAAAAAACCGGTTAACGTGAACCGGTCTTGACCGGTTTGGACCGGTATTTTGTAGCCCCTTAAATACCCTTTAAAACGCACCCAAGAACGTACGATTTGGTAAAGAAACGAGAGAGATATGAATTAAAATGTAAATTACTTTTGGGAATAATAGATGTACCAGACTTATTTTATAGAAGCACCAATTCCTAACGGAATCTGACGTTCTTGGGCTCGTTTTGAAGCTAATAGAGATGTTAATAAATTTACCAATTCATAATTTTAAAATATTAGCCTAAAGACCGGTCATAAACCGGTTAAAACCGATGCAGACTGAAACTGGTCTATAGACCGCAAAAAGACCGCAGACCACGGTTTTTTGCGGTCTGGTCTGGTCTTTTGACTTCTGGGGAAAAGGCAGACCGGTTACTGTTACGGTTAATGCCCCTGGGCATCAAAAAACCGGACCGAACCGGACTTTCAAACACTACAAACATACATGTCCTTTGCGCTCTCGCGCCACAGCTTGCGACAATGGGACATGGCCAACAACCTTCGATCCAAACTTGCTCTTCCACATCAGGAATGCAGGGACTGGGGGGGAAACACAGGGAGCAGGGTGGGACGGGGGGAATGCAGGACGGGGGGCACTTGATGGTAAAGGCAATTGAGCTCAGGAGACATGAAGGGAATCCAGGGGCCAGGTTTATATATTGCATGCTGGAGGCTCCAATGAGTAAGTTGCTGTCTCGTTCAGATGTACATATACTGGGATCTGCTTGTACCATACCAAATTGAATGTTAAAAGTGATTTTCCTATCATTTGAACTATCATATGACAACCAATTTCATCAAATCTAATGATTCTACATGACAGGTTTTGTCATATGTCAACCAATATCAGCAGGTGAGTTTTAGTGATGTTTGTGAACACAGACGATGTGAGCAGATTTGAACAGATTTTCATCTGCTATAGTAGGACCCCCCGAAAATCCTGCTAAATGGTAGATACTAAAATGGCTGATTTTCAGATTCTTGTCTGTACCAATTTTGGCGAACTCTGTCCGGATTTTATCTAGCCTAGTCATAATATAAAAATTTTGTCCGGACTACGTATCTAGCCATATTTAGGGCCCAATTTTTGTCCAGAATCTAGTATCTGGCCTCCAGAGGACTGGAATTTGAAGGAAAAGTGGAAATCTGGCTAAATTACTAAACTACACACTGTCCTTGGCCTTTTGGCGCTTCCTAAAGGCCTTCATTGCCTTTCTGAGCTGTTCCTTCCCCTTTTTCAAGTCATTGAAGAGTACCATATCGACGGGAGAGAGCTCAAATCCACTATTGTTGACTTGTGCCAACGAGACCACTCCCTCCCCCTCCCCCTCCCCTGCTGCTCACAACTCCTTCCCTCTCCCTACTGCTCACCCACTACCCACCATCCCCTTCCCCCTCCCTTACTCCCCCTCCTTTCCTGCTCACCACTCCCTCCCTCTCCCTACCCCCTTCATTCCCTACCCCCTGTCTTCATTCCCTACCCCCTGCCTTCATTCCCTACCCCCTGCCTTCATTCCCTACCCCCTGCCTTCATTCCCTCATTCCCTACCTCCCCTCTCCCTCACTGCCCTCCCTTCAGTTTTTCCCCCCCCTCTAGTTCTTCATTCCCCCCACTCCCCAGCACCCCTACCCCTCCACTCCTTCCCCCTCACTCCCTCCACTCCCTCCACTTTTCCCCTCTCCCTCCACTCCTCCCCCTCCCTCTATCTAGATTCAATGTAGATAAATTCCATCATGTATTTTTAATAAATGAGTTTAAATGAATCTTCTCTCTTTAAGTATAAATGTCCTAAGGAATCCTAAGATTAAGTTGTCAGCAGAAGGCCTGAGTTAGATTCAGTCACATAATATCTCCTTACTTTGTCCAAGGTCTGATCAGAACTAATACTGAAAACTGATCAGCTTAAAAAGTACTGAGAGAAGTATGCAGAAGTGTGTATTGGTGTAAATGTATGTTGTATCTGTGATTTTACTTCTATTCCAGTCCCATTCCTGTGGATTCCAGTCCCATTCCTGCGGATTCTGGTCCCATTCCTGCGGATTCCTGTGGATTCCTGCAGATTCCAGTCCCATTCCTGCAGATTCCAGTGGATTCCTGTGGATTCCGGCGGATTCCTGCAGGAATGGGAGGGGCACTGTAAAGTACTGGGATTTTCGGGGGTCCTGCTATAGTCTGAACATCTGCTGAAATCGGCTTTTGCTAATTTGAGCCGATCTCAGCTGACCTCAACTGCTGGGGTTTTGACTGGGGGTTACAGTTACGGTCTAAGGCACTAGGCACCAAAAGACCGGACTTTCAAACACTAAATGTACATGCAAGGTCAGCTACCTAGATAAGTTGTGGCTACTGCCTGCTATGGCGAAGAACCAAAAACTACCAGTGCAATGGATTTCTCTGAGAAACTACTTATAAATTCACTGTTTCCTGATGAAGCCTTGTCCTTCGCCGCAATAGCTTCCTCCATTTCCTTTTCAAGTTCGCTATCTCAATACTATGCACATGCAAGAGTTTCCTCGTCTCTGCTGCGAGTTCAGAGGCGGGGGGCAGTTTTCTTGAGAGTCTTCCCATCATGCATCTCGAGCTGCATTTGGAGAGGGATGGGGTTGGTTTTCGAGATTCCCCCCACGATCCTTTGCACGGATTTGGCAGTGTTGTCGTGGCAGACAATATCTCCTTCATCATGCGCATGCCATGTGGAAATGCTCTGGTCATAAGGACCTTGAATGACAAGCATAAGAATACGGTGGGCGAGTCTTTGAAGATTGTACTTGCTGCAATAAGTGTTTGTTCGAATCAGTCTCATGATTGATCCTTGACCCAGCTTTTTTGGCCCATAGACTAAGGATAAAGGGTCACCTTGAAGGCAACTTGGAAAGGTCTCTGCAAGAAGGGATGCCCAGTCAGCGTCCTTCATGACAGCTTCACCATTGGTGTCCTCGAATAATTGAATCTCCCGATCTACGATGTGTTCAGCTTTCACGATGCAGGATTTCAACGAGGCCATGTTGTGAGGTGGCATGATGGATAAGGTGTCTACGCGACCCAAGGAGGCATCATTTCCGTCAAAGGCTGTTTTCGATTTCACTTCACCCTCTTCATCATATAATCGGTAATATAGTAGAAAATATAAGAACCGAGATTGCTGATAAGAATGTTAGCATACTGTAGTGTCTCTTGTGTGGGTTAGGGTTTTCGCTTACTACCTCCTCTGCCTGATCAGGGCCGATTGATCGTTTCTCAACTTCAGCAATCCCGACTACCAAAGCCATGGGCTCGCAGAATGACACGCCTACCCCAAGATGACTGCAAAGCTTGAGCCACGTGGAATCTGGAATGGCAGCATCACTTGACATTGCTTCAAATAAAACGGCGTTTGATCCTGCCATGCCTTCAATCTTGCAGAGATGTTTTTTCAGCGATAAGGCAGTATGAGGGGGCGTGATGGACTTTGGCAAAATGCGGCTAATGGACGGATCATTGGAGTAGATGGGGTTGAAGGAGTGGATTGTGCCGTCCTTTGTGTAAAGACGATAATATACTAGTCAACCAAATCAAGTGGGATTAGTCCAACAGTTGTGAAAACATTGAAGAAGGTGGGCTGGATGCACAGTAACGAGGACCTGTTGCTTCGCCTGTCTGCATCGTTCAAGTTGGACCCAGAGAGTTCAATCTATCAAGACAAGATTAGAGAGTAAGATCATATGCTCATCCCGTCACTGTCTCCTCCACGGCCATCCACGGAGTCTCCTGGACCAAATACAGGCATTAGTATGGATTTCAACGATGTTGGTGGATTACAATTTGATTACAATGAGGTGCAGGCTTACAGTGCTTTGCATTGCCGTCTGCACAACGAAATTTCAAAAACTCTGTTTGGTTTTGTATGTTCGTCACAGATTGTCACGCATTAGAACCACGTTGGGAATTTTGAATCTCTCACACCAACTCTCATGGTGCCATAGGTATCAGATGTGTTGCACGCACGGATTATTGTTTGGCATGGTGGGCATCATCTCTCAGCACAAGAGATTTCAGGCCTTGTTGGATGAGGTGGTCTGTTTCTCTCCGATTTGTGGCAGTCACGGTACAACACGTACAAACATGATTTCCAAATTCCCTTGTGCAGACGGCAGTGCAAAGCACTGTACTGTACTGAACTGTATGGTGGCAATGTAACGCATAACGCTGGCCCGATTTTGTTGCTTATTTCAGGTAAAGTAACACATAACGCTGGCCGTGTTGCTATGAAAATGACCAAAAAAAAAGTCCATTTTTACAAAATTTTCTGTCCCTGCAGGGCAAGGGGGTACCGGGATTTAAATCCCAGACCAGGGGCTGGTTGGTTGGTTCAGCTGCCAGGCCGCTAATTTTTTTTTTGACATACCAAAATTTCAGTGCAAAACGACGAGACAGTGCTTGGACAGTGCTCAGATAGCTGCCAGAATGCATGAGCTTGAATATATTGGGTCTATCTGTATATAAAGAAGCCAAAAACCAGCTCTAAGATAATATAGGACTTGGAATTGAGATCACATGTTGTGAAATACCTTTCTCTACAACAAATTTGGAGCTTGCTGCCCAAAAACAGCAGGCCCATACAGTGATTTACTTTAATTCAATTTAGTGGGCAGCTCAGTAGTTCAATTTCAATAGTGAATTTTATGGTCAACTTCATTTTGAGCTCGACGGGGAGCTCAAAAAATGGGTTTTCACGGCCTGCTGGGAAAAAGATGGCACGTGGATGACATCATATTTCCTAAAATGGATGTGTGCCTGATTACGTTGGGTGGCTGGTTCAGCCCAAGTCCCACTAAAAATAATTTCGACGTCCGGTCCTTATTTTAAATCCCGGCACCCCCTTGCTGCGGGGCTACAGATACTAAAATATAGGTAAAATCTGGTAGAATACCCCGGCATTGCCAGGATCATTGTATGCCCAGCCGACCATCTACTTCTGTAACATCGTCTTCCTAAATCTCCGGGGGGTTGCCTATTGGACCAAAGTAACGCATAACACCCGGTCGGTTACCGAAAAAAATCCTTTGGGGCGCGTAACGCTCCGTCTGCCGTTGCCACCATACAGTTCGGTACAGTACTCATCAGCCTGTTGTTTGGTTCAGAGCGTTTGCCACAACACTCCTTGTCTTCCTGCCACCCGGAGACTTTCTCCTTCAGGCTGGCAGATTTCACTATCCCATGTTCTGATAACTCCAGGCACTGGCACCATTCCTTCTTGAGCACTGCGAACGTAACAAACTACCACGATCAGAGCCAGTCCAACCAAGCCTACAATTACGCTTAAACTCAGAGTTATATCGGGGAGTCAGGTACACTCTTTTGACACTCCAGCAACACTCCAGTGTCCACGATCCCCAAACACGCCAACAATCTCTTTGTTCGACCAGCTCACCTGAGACCTCCCTACCTGCCGAGGCTCACCTCAGGATCTAATTATTTGCTTCAGACTTGCTACTCATGAACCTTCGAAGTTCAGACAACCTCTGAGGTTTAGAAAGGCCCTTGACTCACATAGGCGCTCGCCTGCAAGAACTCGCTCAAATGTAAAAACTTCACGCTCTTCGAGAACTTTGTCTGGGACTCCCCTCTTCGGCGTTGACTCCCGATGGAAAGGAAACACACGCGCGGACCGTGACAACAGGAGAAGAGAATGCCAGGAAGACATACATTGATGTCCCTTCAAAGAATGCCAACGCCTTTCCATTCTAATGTTACAATCTCATAACAAACTCCGGAAATTCAGCCTACACAATTCGAAATGACGACGAATGCCTTTGTAGAGCCAACGTAGCAAATCAGGTCAACAACGGAGGGACGTCAAAAAATCAGATCAACCTCTGCGACGTCTGGTAAATGAGGAGCGCATATGCATGTATCCGATGCACGCAAGAACGAAGGACATGTATGGGGGGCCGAGAAGTAAGTACCCTTCGCGTACCGTAACAATACATGACCCACTTTATGTTTCAACAGACCTTCACGCGGCGCTTCGCACCGCCCCTCTCTTGACAAACGTCCTGAACTATTGACTATGGGGCTCGAAGCTGCGATCGTGTTCCTTTCAAGGTTTTGGACTTGATCAGTATTCAATTAATTCCGGTGCATGCTTGCATCGACCCTCTTGTCGTCTACTAAACCCATTTGCCAGGGGGAATTGCTACTTTATTGAAGGGAATACCACATTTGTCACTTGAAGTTCATCAGCTCAGGTGTTCCCATCGGGTTTCAAAGTTTGTCGATCATGCAAAAGAAAAGCATGGCAAGGCGAATAGAACTCAACAACGATCGGAAGGTCCCTGAGATTCTTCTCCTCACAAAGAACCTATTGACTTGTCCCACCTTCCGACGAAGAAACAATGTGACTCACAAGGTTTTATTGATGGTAGGCGATCCACGATATTATGCAAGAGGCATTCGAGATCAGTTGTTTTCACCAAGAATGCAGTCTGATCAACAATTGACATGCAGACCGGGCACAGGGTATCGCAAGGGTAGTACTACTATCGACCGCAAAAGAAATCCAGAACTTGCCCAGACCACGGCGAAGCGATTGGAGCTCAACTCACGGAAGATCCTGGACTTCTGAATCACCAACAGCCGATTAACATGCCAGATGACCTTTTCACAACCAGTACGTGCACTGAACAATAAAATGTACCCAGCCGAATAATATGCCATTCCAGACAAAGATCCGCCAGAAACTCGCTAGAGAGTGACTTTGCTCGGCCCCCACGCTCGTTGACAAGGTCAATGCTTCCTTCCAAGCACTATCAGCTTCATTTGGAAAGCTGTTAAAAACAAGATGTCGTCAGGCCAGAGCTCCAATTGAGTACAGCGCCTTTTCAGTAATCCACTGGCATTGAACAGTAAGTTCCAAATACCCAAACTCCTCTTGTGCTTATCATCGACCCGGAGCAGACCGTCATGAAAGTAATTAACATCTCCACCTTTGTTGCTCTCGCGGCGCTCGTCCACTTTTCTTCTGCCGTTTCGTGCCGGTGCTTTACCAAGAAACAGGGGGCCGTGGGCACAATTGCTGAATATGACGCCAAGTCGTCCGAAAAGTGTTGCAAGGACGTTATGAACGCTGAACTCCATGATGCCTTCCCGAAACCTGTCTGCGGCATTGAGGGCAAGGCGAAGGAGTATAAGAAATGTTGCAAATCCAGTGACAAAGGTTTTGGGGACTGCGTGGGGGAATGACGAAAATTAGGCTTGATCATGTGATGTGTATGCACTGAAATGTAGTGTTGCCGTCGAAGCGAAGTGACTTCGAGGTGACTTCGAGGTGACTTCGATTCGGTTCGAAAATCACACCACTTCGTGTCACTTCGAGGTATCGAAGTGAGTCGAGGTGAATTTGTGATGGCCATCAATAATGGCTGGAAAAGGAAGATTGGCGCACGTGAAGCAGCACGTCGAGGCGCGTTTACTACGGTTTAGTGGTCTTTACAGTCGCGATTCGACGCTCTCCCTCTTTCTCCTCCCTCCCTTCCCCAATACAATCTTAAATCACACCAGTTTTATGTGGCTGAATGTATAGTACCAGTTTCTTTCAATTTATGAGTGTCGTATGATAAAATTTGCTTAGGAAGGAGGGGTGAACATCGCGACTATAAAGTCTCAAAAGAAATTTGTTCTCTGCGACGCGACAAGATTTGCACAGAGAATATCGAGGCTTTGCGAGTGCTGAAGTTCTCATATGAGAAAACCGTCTCAGTTTCGTCGCTGATCTCGTAGCTGAATGACATGGACAACGCCAATATAAGATCCAGTAGCGCAACAGTAGCGGCACATGTGCCAGTACCCGACTCATGCTCAGCTTGTATTTCACTCCCCCGCCCCACCATTTTCAGCATGAAGGCAGACCTGCGGATGAGAGCCCTGCTCTTCATCCTCCTTCTCTCTTTTCTTTGTTTGCGAAGCGTGCAAGAAGGATTACACTATCTCAACGGAGGCTGCTTTTGACGGGGATTTATTTCAGAACTCGAAAGATATTGATACTAAAGTACCTGCGTGATACTAAGTAAATACTACATCATGTATTCAAGTACACGACAAGTTACTACAACGTTCAGCACCAAGAATGCGAACGATATTATTGGCTGATCAATTTACGGGGATCACCGAATTCGCTTCGATTCACTTCGAAAGACCGAAGTGGATCGAAGTGAACACATTTCCCCACTTCGATTCGCTTCGGTTCACCTCGCGGCAACACTACTGAAATGTTACCGTATAACGACCTCTTCAGCCCCAGTGGCCTCCATCGCTCTATCTTCACGCCTATCGACACAAAATGGTATCGATACAGCTTTTGGCACACTCATAACCTGTTTACGAACAAGCCGCGGAGAAACTCGATAGAATTCTCTGCAGTGCTCGGTCTTAGGTGCTCTGAGGTGTATGCATATCCGCACACTCGAAAATTCCTGACGGACACCTACCTTGCACCTGTGACTCCTCTCGGACCCAAAGCATCGACGATAAGTGCCCTTCAGTTGAATTCTTTCCATGCGAGCTTGGATCCGACAATTGGGGAATCCAATCCCTTGCAACTAGGCGACACCAACAGTAGGGATGGCTTTAGCGGAGGAAAATGGGGTGCATACTAGCCTCCGAGCCAACTTGGATCTGTGGGGACCCTTGGTCGATCCTCGTTATCAATTCCCAACGCAATCACTTGTTCTCCCTCATGCGCATGCCTAACATGTGCTCTCAACTCCTTCCATGCGTGCCTCCATATATCACACGACACACTCTCGGATCTCCATCTCAAAACTGCCAGACACCTTCATCCTTCTCCTCCCCCCTCCACCAACGTATTCTTGGCCCACTCCTCAACGTCCTCGATATGTCTTCTTCTAACGCAAGACCGAGCGCAACCTTCCCTGTCAAGGCCTTGAGCTTGATACGAGGTAGTACCGACGGAACCACGTTTTTCTCGATAAACGATGCCCTGGCCTCCGCAGCTGATCTGGCTAACCGACGGATTCTTTGTATGTCCCATGGAACCAAAGCACGCATTTTGAGCGTGCTGCGGCAATAAGTTGTGAAAGCTCGACAGGGCCCCAGTGAATGTTCAGCTCCCTTCACGCCTTCAAGAGTTTGGAATTGGTATTTGGGAGACGACTCCCTGAACTCGAACGTGGAACTACTTACCCGCCTCTCTCGGACAGAAGGCCCTTCACATTCCGTTCAGCAAGTTTCCGGATTCTTCGGCAATCCATCTGAACACTTTCGAATGAGTCCGATTGGTTGCTGTGATGGTCTTCATTGTACCACCTGGGTCTTTGAAAGTTTTCGGAGCTTCTTGAACTTCGTTCTGCCGGGCAGCTCCGATCGATTCATGGTCATTGTCGTCTTCATCATCCGTAGCTTGTTGACAATTCCGAGTCTTGTTCATGACGTGGACGTGGACAGTTTGATGTTTATGATGAGCTCTCAAACCTCCTCGAGTTTGTGACGTCCACGGGTGGGGGCTGAGCGCTGAGGGTTTAGGGTTTGACTTCAGGTGACCGCAATTCTAGGTGCTTGGAAATGTAAAATCTCGACCTGGGGAAATTTACAATTGTCAGGGAGAGCAAAATGCTACCGACGACACTGTTGTCCCCCTTGCTTCTTTCGGTCTTGTGCGAATATCGAATGTCGTGATCCATCCCTCCTAGAAACACGAATTTGGATCATAGCAGACCCTCCTGCAGTTGTGATTCGTAGAAGTTGTGGACGTCAATAGCGGAGGTCCGAAAGCTAGATGGCACAAAAACTGGATCCATTAATGAAGCGACTGCGGGTTCGTTTGAATCGGTTCTGGACACTGGATATGGCCTGGATCTGCCTCCCGGTGGATTTAATTCACGCACAGCTGAAAAGCTATTGTGTTGCTCGAGGGCATTTGGAGTGTTTGCGATGAACTTGGAGCTATCACAGGCTATCTCCCGATTTCATCGGTCTGCGCAGCTGAGCTCACACATGCCACGATTGCAAAACATTTTCAAATTAAAACCCCGGGAGAATGGACTCGGGAGCGTCGCGGTCTGATCGCCTGGACTTGGGAAACAAAACCCTAAACCTCAATTCCGTTTCTGGTCAAGGGTTTACTCAAGTCGCCGTCCATGATCAGTCCTCGAGGTCTCCCCGGGTCCAAACCCCATTGGCCCCATGTACCTCACTGCGGATAATAAGATCCGATGCACGTCATCCATCCCTCCGTCTATCTAAGCGTGTTTGAGGAGACGCCGATAAATTAAGCGCTACCTAGTAGTAATGAACTCGAGTTCGTAATTAATGAACTCCCATCAAGCAAAATAACCCCTTCAACCGCCCTTCCGACTCCCGAGCTCTGAACCTGAGCATCCACGCGTCACCCTGGTCATCACGCGTCATCACGCGTAATCCGCACACACTTCGCTATCATCACGCATAATCAACCACCTTCAACACCCCCGGCGCCCTCTTCGGCATCCCATGCATCGCAAGACCAAGCTTCTGCACCCTCCAATAAAATGCCTCCGAGTCCCTTGCCAGGTCGTCTGGCAGCAACCCTGCGTATATGAGGTCGGTTATGATGTGTATTGCCCAGCGCGCGCAGGACCACTGTTCCAGTGGGTCCGCGCCGTCGACTCTCGAGCATGGGAGACGGCTCAGCGGAGAGGGTGAGTGGGCAGGGTATTGGGTTATGAACGCGGATATGTCGGATTGAGGTGCCGGTATGCATGGGAGGCGGACGCAGCCTAGTAAACTTGAGAAGTTTTGGGAGTTTGGACTTGAACTTGGACTTGACGAGGAGGAGGAGGGGGAGGAGGGGGGTGTCAAGTCTTGGTGGTACGTATAGTTCTTCGTCCACGTTCCGCCTGGGTTGTCGATTGCATATACGTCTGTTGGGCCGTACGGACCATCTTTTCTTGCGGAGGGGGCTAGGGACCAGCGGTAGGATGTTGTGTGGTTTTCGGCGCGGTAGGAGAGGAGGATGTAGAGGTATGTGGAGGGGGTTGATGAGGGCATGTCTTTTTGGATGGGATGGGCTTTGGGAGAGGGTGGAGGACGAAGGGTGGGAAAGGACAGACGATAGTCCAGGCGACGGCGTCGATGGGTGGTTCAACTTGGAACTTGGAAGGTGCGATGCATCCGTGGGCGATCCTCGACGCTTTTTAAGTACAGTAGGTCATCGATCACTGGCATGCTGCGTTGGGAAAAAGGGTCCCGGATTCCGGTGAGTAAATAAATGCAAAAGAGTGATGAGTAGGGACGGAATTTTTCTTCTTGAATTCGATATGATCAAACCTCGTGTTTGAAGCATGTGGGTATTTTGATTACTGGAGTTCATGGAGTGGACCATCTCCCATCCAAATGTCAATGACGCCTTGAATGAATAGGTTCCGTTTCATATCGGACTGGAGTAAGATTAATCCGACGATGAGTACGCGGATCGTAATACGGAAGGACTTGAAGCGGATTGCGGAACAAAAGATAACCGACGCGTCGATCACGTGTGACTCTTCGCTTTTGATCTGCTTTTGATCTCACACATGAACGACGCGCGACAATATGGCGAGCTTGGCACCCAACTCCTCCTCGAATCGCGTCGATCAACGCAGACGGACACTTTTCTGAAATACAACGACACCCTCGTCCGATCTCTCATCCGCGAGCAGCGCGACCTCGAAAAAGCCATCGACGCCATCCCATTCGAGGGTGGCTCACCGCCTCCTGCGTTGCTCATCATCCAAACCGCAATTAATCGCAACAAGCGATGCTTACTAGCCTACCACGCGCACCGCGTCGATCGACTGAGAGATCTGTATTGGTCCGTGGGCGGAGCGCTCCCTCACATCCTATCCAATCAGGAGTTGAGGGGAAGGATGTCGCCTCATGAGGTGGACTATTTAAGGCAGTATAACTCGTCAATTATGGAGTTCCGGAGCGAATTTACGCACGAGTTGGATGTTACGGCGAGTATTACGATTCCGCCGAAGGATATTCATGCTCTTGTGAGGGTTGTTAGGGATTGTGGTGTTATTCAGACAGAGCTGGGGAGTATTGATTTTAAAAAGGGGCAGAGGTTTATGGTTAGGAGGGCAGATATTGAGCATTTAATTGTTCAAGGGTATTTGGAGGAGGTTTGAGGCGCTGCCAATCGATCCACTGATCGCTCTCGTCGTCGGTTCGTCTTTGTTTGGTTGTTAGGTCTAAACCTAACAATACTCCTCGTTGCCGTACACGTCTTCCGAATCCTTTTTCCAATTGGGCTGCCATGCTCAGTCGCAATGCATGTGCCTCCTCGTCGCGCAAGCTTGTGAATCAAGCATTCATTCTTGCTCGCCGTCAACCACAGCGACGGGTCTCACAATCATCTCTCACACATGACCAAGTAACATCCCCCCACTTCAACGCCGACCTCGCCTCGCGGGACCGTTCCGGCTTCTCAGATCTTGGTTTACGCTCCAGCAAACCTCCAGATTCCATCGATTCGGACCCAAAAACCCCTTCCGAAATATCAGACCAAGACTGGGAACTTCGCACAGGTCCGTTTTTCAATTCGAGCAGTTTTACAATCATACTCAACGACTACAGGACGCGCTATTTATGTATTACAACAAACGTTGCCCGATTTCTTCGCCACGGGACTCATCACCTCCATCGACAAAAGAACAGGCGCACCGGTACCTCCATCCACCAGCATCCCGATCGCCAGCGCCAATCCCCTCGATTACCTCCCCTTCGACGACGACGCAGAGTCCATATACAGTCCATTCGTTCAGTCGTCCTATACACCCCCCGTCCCGCTCCCAGCTCCATTCCCCAAGGTGCTCCATGTAGAAGGCAATCCTAATGCCCTGTCCGCTTTCTTTCGAATGATACTAATTAATGTGTTTGTTCCGCAGGCCTTCAGCTGTACCTCGCCTGTTCGGGGTTCGTGCGACATACGATGAACGCGCTATACTCGGACCTTTCGGTCACGTTGACAAAAGTCGCTGTGAACGCGCCCTCACCACCGACGACGAAATCGCTAGGAGGGTCAGCTGAGATAGGGACGACGAAGAAGAAGGGTAGGGAGAAGAGTCTTCTCGTGCGGCAGAACGTTACAGGGATCGCTAGGGTCAGTGGAAAGCCTGGGGAATGGATGGTGTACGTCTCTCTTACATCTTTGATGACCGAGTTCTGATATAGGCGGGTAGGGAATCAATGTACATTTTTTCGCCATCAACGGGCCTCATACATAAACACGTCATCAACTCGATCCACCCTGCGCCTCATGTGGCCGTGTATGAGTCCCTGAGGGCGAGCATGGGCAAGCTGCTTGGGTTGGGTGGGGGTAGTGCGCCCAGTCCGAACGGGGCTGCTTGTAAGGGTGCGGGGAAGGTTTAAGACCAAGTAGGTAGGCGAAGAATGCATTATCACCCCCTCCTCCACTCCCTTAATTGCTAATCCACCCCTACTCCGTCATTTTCTGGAATCCATACTGCTACATCTATTTGTAATCGGCAGTTACAACACGACAGCATTTTGGTTCAATGCTCGCTTTAAAACCTCGATTTCAATCTCAGCCCTGGTTAGCATAAGCCTGATGACCTCCTCCTGAATGACTTTCGACGGTTCTGCATCCGGAAACTCTGCTGAATAGCGACGAAGGCGCTGTTCTGCCTCGTGTTGTTTGAGAAGGGCATCCATGAACTCTGCGGCCCCCTCGTCGTTAAGAACATCGATGGGTATATTTGGTAGCATATGCCATGTCTTCCAGTCACAAACGTTAACGGTGATACTCTGTAAACAGGACGTGGAACTCACAAGCCTTGATCCTTCGATGCCATGGCATACTAAATCGTAGTAGCCACGAAAGATAAAAACTTTTGGATCGTCAAAAAAATTGGTTCGTGTGCTAGGGCCACCGAAAGGGCGTTCGTGCTGAGGGCGCTGGGTAGTAGCCATATCGTGATACTTAAAGTAAGGGCCAGTGGGTTGGCGTTTTTATACATGGTGACCGATTCCGAAGCTTCCCAGTTAGTTCAAAATGATGTAACCTGTAATCTCACGTGATCAAGTGGATGAAGAAACACGCGTCATCGTACTTGCATCATACTAACCCGAATCGGCATTGATATTGAATATTCAGGCCTCAGGCCTCAGGTTCGACATGGCACGTTGAGTAGACAACATCATCGGCCCTCAAGAAACTTAACTGAGGTCTCGACAGCATTTTTGAGACTTCGGAGCCACTTTGGAACTCGGAATCGAGCTTGCCACTCACTGCCGGTGAGAGGTTGTTCGCCAACACCACTCCCTCGCTGGAAGAATTTTTTTGCAATCTCTCCGCAAACCCATCCTCAAGGTAGTGCGCCCAGCAGCCGTGAGTCTCACCACAACCTTCAAATGTTGAGTGCAGTGGCCACCATGATTTTATGGCTATCTGTTCTCCTTCACCTCTCTGGAGATACATAATCGCCATGGAGAAGCTTCCCCCCCTCGTCATTTCATTTCCCCAAACAAACATCAATTCGCGCTACGCAGAGACGTCAAATTATGCAGGGTACCACCCTTCCGCCTCACATCCACATCCATCTTGACCCTCTGCGCCCCCCCAAACTCCGTCAACACATCAAACGCCAACATATCAGCATCGGACAACCCAACGGCAAGAAGGGCCACGATGCTGACCGATTCCAAGCGACCCTCCGAGTCTCCTTCGGGGTTTAATCGCGACTTGACCATCTTCAATAACGTGTTTGCGGACGAAGCGAGCGTTGCGGAGTCTGCGAACGTGTATAGATCTTCCATGACCAAATTTCGTAAATTGGGCACTAGGAAGAACCTGCTCTGTGAACCCCATTCTTGGTGGTATGGTCTCCTTGCAGTGGTGATGGGTGCCTCACGGTTTAATGTGAGGTATGTTGGTAAGAGCTCTGTGACGCCTCGGCTCTGAACGGAGAGGTGCGTGATGCTCGGGACGAGGTCGAGGATCCGGACTGTACTCTGTACGGGTAGTTTGTCGATGGATAGAGAGTCGAGCGTGAACTGTGATCTGTGGTGCAGGCCTAAAAAAGCCGAGACGACGAGATCCGACAAGCGCGTTCCGTTTTCCATGGTTTCTATAGCAAAGTGTTTGAGGCTGGGTGTGTGGAGTAGGTTGAGGATCTGGTTGAGGGCTTCTTCGTGTCCTGAGACATGGAATGAGCGGATGTTGGGTAGGGAGATAATTTCGACGGTTGCGTTGTGATCCGTCGTTGATGATAGTGATATCCCGCAAACCACTTTAAGCTCTTCGAGGAGAGGCATGTTCGTTAGGATTTGGTCGAGTTCTCCTTGTCTGTACTGAAGTAGGTTGGATTCAAAGTGCGTTATTTGGTTCCAGGGGACCTTTAACGAACTGGTTGGGTGATGGAGTTTGCAGAGGGTGAGGTGGGTGAGTTGGGGGGATGCTACGAAAGCGGTTATTGCGAACGCAGGGCGGTACTCGTGAGTCAAGCTGAGAGCCTTTAGCAGGGAAAGTCGTCCCCGACTCTTCTCAAGCTTGGCCATGAACGGGGATAAAGAAAAATGAAGCGACACCGTCTGCCATCGATGAGCTTCAGCCAAGCAGAGGTCGGTAAGTGGGAAAAGAAGGGGGTGAATACGCTGGAAAGCCTTAACACGTAGATGCAAGGGCCTGTCACGAGATCGGTGAAGGCACCCTCGAAAAAAGTTGAGCAATGCGTCTGTGCGCTGGTTCAGCCAGGCGGCGGGTTGCCAGTCTAGGTCTACAGTTATGGATGTCCAGAGGTTGGGTTCGGATAGCGCGATCGTGCGCCAGCGCTGGCTTACTTGTGCGAGGGACCACGGAGTGCAGGGTGGGTCGCCACAGATCTCAATTGGCGAGGAGGCGCAGTGGAGGAATATCTCGTTGATTAGTTCTTCTGGCAGGTGGTTGAAAGGTTTTGACCCTGTGGATAGTTCTTTGGATCTTGTTCCGCTTGGCTTGTTTGTTTGGTTTTCAAAGTTTCCCTCCTCGATTTCGTGGCCATTGACTGTCCCGGTTGGCGTGAGTCCGGTGGCGGGACTCGGGTCAGACGATGAGCTGAACCCTTGTTCATTACTACTGGTAACATGGTAAGAATCAGATAGAACAATAGAATTTTACTGACATATTGGTCGTATTCATTCACCTATCCACGCCGGAGGGCCACAGTATCACAGACAGGCCAAGTGGTAGTGGTGGTAGCAGCCCACGGAAGTTCCAAATGGGGGTTTGGGTGGCATAGGCGTGAAAGCTACACATGCGACAACAACGCGTCATCTTGGGCCGCTTCAATTTTGCTTCCACTCGTCCATCTCACATTTTCACGAATATGAAATCTCCTGCGACGACGGACTCTCATCATTGCTTGGGCTGACTCTTCACAACTACAGGAGTGCTCATGTAACTATCCAGCAAACTTTTTCGGAAATGCGGAGTCAACTAGTCACCAGGAAGGCGCGCCGAGAGTTAACTTCTGGGTCTCTGCGTTACTCAAAGCACGAACGGTCTCCCATTGATGAAATAAGAGTCCTGACATGTTCGATATTGTAGAGCGGAATAAATGTGAGCCATCGCGATCCGAGTCAAATACCCTGAAAGAAAATTTGGCTTTGAAGAATTGCCGACCGACGCAGAGGAGCGTAAAAAGCCTCGAGTACATGAAGGGTCGCGTGTCCTCGTCACAATTTCAGGAATTTCGCCTTCTTTTTCAGGCTTCGGTCCTTGCTTGTTTGACGGCGCCCTCAGCTCACCAAAGCACCCATATGGCGCCATCCCGTAGACGTCACGAGTCCAACCCAGTAGAGGCGAACGTCAAGTGGGGAAAGGAACTTGCAGGCCAAATGTATGAGGCTACTCCGCCTTGAAAAGATCACTTGCCCTTTAAAATTTCCAGTGCGGGATGGTGACTCCTTCAACCGAAAGGGTATCAGCAGGGGTCTCGCCGATTGGGAAGACGCCAATGAAGCACCCGTATACGCGTCAAATCGAGTTGACAAACCCCGTCCGAGCTGGTAAGTTGCTTAATACGGATGGCTTTTTCTGAACTGAAAGCATCGCATAGGAGACGGTACAATTCATGGCATATGGCATCTCAAGCCATAGACATACCGGTGGCATTGGACTCGAGTTCTGTTATGAAGGAATTCTTCAAAGGGAATTATCGATTAACCTAGATCCTCCTATTCCTCCCAGAACGCCTCTCCGCCTCACCAACCTCTTTCATTGTTTTCTTCGCCTCCTCGCGCTCGTTTTCATCAGAAATCTTGACGAATAGCCACCATCCCGCAATCGGTTTGACGGTATCTCGCTCCCCAGTAGCCGACCTTTTTTGATCGCCGCTGGAACAGACCTGCATTCCAATCAGACCGACGGTCATCATGGATGGGAACAGTTGGCCGTTGTCATCAACGAGAACATCCACCTCCGTAAATCCAGACGGAATTTTTTGGCTGTCGACAAGGTGGTATGGTGACCCGTCGAGCACCAGTGCGGCCTGGCGCTGATTGCGAAAACGGGTTTCCTTCGTATAAATTTTGAAAAAGTCTTCTGCGGAGAGGGATGCGGGGTCGACATTTGGCAAAGCCTGGTAGGGACGGGGAAAAGTCAAGATTAACATCCGTGTTCACCATCTTGAAAAGCGTACGTTATGATTTAGTTGGGGCCCGATCCACTTCCCGTCCTCGTCGAACACGCAAAAAGCTGTGACCCAGCCCCCGAGGTAGGTAGGACCGCTTCCTCCTCCATCCCGATGGCAAACGCGCGTCCAAAATTCAAGGTTATCCCTTCCATTTGGGTCGTCGAATGCGCTGACGAACTTGGAAATGACCGGCTTAAGGAGGTGATACCACGCAGTCGTCTCGAGTCCGTACTCTTTTAGCTTTTCTAATCTTCCAAGAATAGCCTCCCAGTCCGACTTTTCCCCTTCAAGTGTCACCTGCGGCAACCCACAACGGAGCTGGAACACATATTTGAAGTATTTCTTCATCGTCGCCATCATGAGAACAGCGAAAATGACTGTGTCGTTTGCGGTCGTTGTGGAAAATGTAGGAAGGATCCAGTCGCGAAGGCTAGGATCCACGACGTTTTCGTGTATCTTTTGAGTCATTTCAACCGACATTTCACCAAAGTCCACCGTATAACGACTTCCTGCCGCAACCACGACGAGGGTCTTTTTCTCCTCATGGGCCACGAAATGGGAACGCAGTTTATCGCTATTGGCGTTCACGAAGAAGTTAAATTGGACAAGGATAGCAGCCCACACATCATCGGGGCGAATGATCAAGCAAAGATGTTGATTATACGCTGAAACAAGCGTTTCAACGAAGCCGTTGGTCTGTGCTATGATTTCTTCCTGTCCAGTAAAGGAGGTCTGCAAAAGTTCGTCAAATTTCTTGTATTGGTTTGGACATGCGACTTTGAGAAGTTCTTGCCCTGAGCGACGTTGGCCTACCCCCGTAGCGAAAGGTTGGGCCTGTATTTCATTAGGGTAGAATGTTATAGGCATGATGGAAGTGATAAGGAGGACAAGCAAATCAAAGGAAGTATTATCATCAAAGCCAAATTAAGGCTGTACCAATCATAGACATCTCGGTCCCGTCATTTACTGGGCATAAGTATGACAGAACGTAATGCGTAAGAGCGCCCATTCGCTTCAAACGAGGATATACGTACAGCGGCACACTCCCCGAAAGGGGATAAGGCTCATCCTCGACACAGTGTCGAGTATGAGAGGACGAGCAAAACTGCTGAATACACGATCCATGATCGTGATCAGTTTTGAGATTCCGCCTTGAACTTTAAATATAAAAGGCAGGTGCTAAGAATACCTCCCGCCGTTTGCGCTTCTGTTTGGCTACATGGCGCGATCACTCGAAAGACGTATCCGGAAGTGCCGTGCCAGATCCTGGCAAATACCACCCACTCGTGTTGGGGATTTCTTGACCACGGCAGATGCTGGACACCGCCAATGGCAAGAATCACTAAAATGGCTACATTTTCGAAGTTTCGGCTCGACGTTCCTAGGCGACATCTCACAGAATCCACAATGAACGACGCGCCTTCAACGCTTTTCTGGGACCTCACTCAGTCTGGATCGTCGCCCACGTCTGCGCCTAGTGGCTCTCAGAAGCTCTATGGGTGTTTTCTTTCAGATTCTGAGTCAGGGCGATATCCTCTGTCTTGGAGTTCTTGGGAAGCGTTCAAGTTTCTGTCCTTTTTGACACAAGAACAGGTTGCAAACTCGATTGAACTTCGACGCGTTTCTTCGACGACTGGGGCTGAGCGCTACCTGGAACGAACGGTTTACGTTTGCGCATGGTATGGGACTTGGGGCAAGAAGGACTACGAAAAGAAGCCAGTTAGGTTAGTCACCTTGGCTCATTAGTAATGGGCCACCCTGCCCTGACAATCCATCAAATGGTATGGGTCTAGCCGGACGGCCGGTTTGATTACCGGACCCCATTGTCAAAGGGGCGGCCGGACCCTGAACAATCCACCAGTAACTATGTGTGGGCCATCAGCAACAATGTCCCACACCACTGGAGCGGCTGGGTGTACCTTGAATGTCATAACCCTCTGCGGGGTTGCCCTCCGCCAGGGTGTTGGTGACATGCCGGCGGCGATCATCCAGTTGAATACTTAGAATTAGAAGTCTGGCTTATACCAATCATGCAGAATATTATCAACCTATGTATGCTGTTTGCTACAATTTGAGTGGAATCACTCTGCCAGACTAAGCACTGCACATTGCTTCTGAAACACTCCACTGGACTAAGCACCACACATTACCTCTGCAGAAATTATGCATATTGGAATGATCTGTTGGAAGAAGCTTCACACATTTAATCTGCAAAAGGATTTCAGTACACCAGCAAGGCGATCACTCCACAAATATTGCTCCACCAGTTATATAATTTTTTTATGGTACACCACCGGACCAGCCACCACACATTGACTCTGCAAACATAGAAAAAGAATTATAATGAAGTTTGACACATTTACGTTGAAAACATATCTAAGTACACAATACCACTGCAAATATTGCCCCACCGGCGGTGTCATTTTTTATGATACGCCACCAGACCAGCCACCACAAATCACCTCTGCTTTTATATTGAAAATTTATAATAGCCTGTTAGAATATTTTTGACATGTTTACACTGAAAACAGATTTTAAGTACACAATACCTCCACAAACATTGCTTCGCCGGCGGTGTCATTTTTTTTATGATACACCGCCGGACCAGCCACTGCACATTGACTCCACAAACATAGAAAAAAATTATAATGAAGTTTGACACATTTACGTTGCAAACATATTTAAGTACACAATACTTCTGCAAATATTGCCCTGCCGGCGGTGTCATTTTTTTTATGATACACCGCCGGACCAGCCACCGCAAATTGCCTCCGCTTTTATATTGAAAATTTATAATAGCCTGTTAGAATACTTTTGACATGTTTATACTGAGAACATATTTAAGTACACAATATGTCCGCAAACATTGCTTTGCTGGTGGTGTCATTTTTTTATGATACACCGCCGGACCAGCCACTGCACATTGACTCCGCAAAAATAGAAAAAGAATTATAATGAAGTTTGACACATTTACGTTGAAAACATATTCAAGTACACAATACCTCCGCAAATATTGCCCTGCCGGCGGTGTCATTTTTTTATTATACGCCGCCGGACCAGGCACCGCAAATCACCTCCGCTTTTATATTGAAAATTTATAATAGCCTATTAGAATATTTTTGACATGTTTACACTGAAAACATATTTAAGTACACAATATGTCCGCAAATATCGCCCTGCCGGCGGTGTCATTTTTTTATTATACGCCGCCGGACCAGGCACCACAAATCATCTCCGCTTTTATATTGAAAATTTATAATAGCCTGTTAGAATATATTTGACACATTTACACTGAAAACATATTTAAGTACACAATACCTCCGCAAACATTGCTTCGCCGGCGGTGTCATTTTCTTTATGATACACCATCGGACCAGCCACCACACATTGTCTCTGCTTTTATATTGAAAATTTATAATGGCCTGTTAGGATGTGTTTGACACATTTACACCAAAAAAATATCTAAGTACACAATCCCCCCGCAAATATTGCTCTGCTGGTGGTGTCATTTTTTCATGATACTCCACCAGACCAGCCACTGCACATTGCCTCCACTTCCATTTAAGAAAATGTATAATAGCCTGTTAGAATATGTTTGACACATTTATACTGAAAATATATTTGAGTACACAATCCCTCCGCAAATGGTGCTCTGCCGGCGGTGTCATTTCTTTATGATACTCCACTGGACTAGCCACTGCATAGAACACCCTGCCAAGCTAAGCACTACACATTGCCCCAAAGACACCACCAATCTAATGTTACTTCAGACTTAGCTGTGCACCCTTTCTCTTAATATGAGCTCTGGCTCTGATAGCCAGAGGTAACCAAGTATGCATTATGCAGGACCAGAAAAGGGTGTTGCGGCAACGAGGATGGTACGGCTATCTTGCTTGTTGCCGGGCAGGGACCATCAAAGTTTCAGTTTGTGCCTGAGACATTTCCAAATTGAGGTGATGCGCTTGGTGCACGGACCCTCTGCTGCATGCAAACAGACCCTGCATCCCGACGAACAACGACGCACTCACCCAATTTCAATCCATGTAACCTGAAAACCAGCCAGCTGATAGACCTCAATGCCATGGTAATTACCATGTTAAAATCTTCAAGAGATGTTTTGTTTTTGTTGACAAACACAGAAAAGAGGGTTTTATGTTGATAATCTCTATCAAACCTTGACTGCATTGTGGCATTACAACGAAAATCATCAAGACTTTTTTTTTTTTCGAACAACTTATCGTCGGGCCTAGCTCATTAGAATTATGCTTTTTCAAGCTTTTCAAGGGTGGTTTTTACATGAGTCAAAAGTCATTATTACATGTTGCAGGGCTGAAACAACCTGTGAAATGGTACTTTTTATGATAGAAACCATCAAGACTTTTCTTTTCCCCAAACAATTTATCGTCGGGCCTAGCTTGTTCAAATCCTGACTTCTCCAGCTTTACAGAGGTGGCTTTTACATGAGGTAACAGCCATTATTATGTTCTGCAGAGCTGAAACAATCTGTGAAAAGGTATATTTTACAATGAAAACCATCAAGACTTCTTCTTTTCCTAAGAAACCTATTGTTGGGCCTAACTTGTTCAAATCCTGCTTTCTCCAGCTTTCCAGAGGTGGTTTTTATGTGGGTTGACAGTCATTTTTACATTCTGTGTAGCTGAAACAATCTGTGAAAAGGTACATTTCACATAAGTGACTCTTCAAAACACACTTGTGAGCATGTACAGAGGTTTATATACTTGGCTTCCAAACCCCTATGAAGGATCCAGATGAGTTTACCCTCTGTAGTCTATCCACCGCAGCCACAATCTACCCTCCGCAACCTATCCCCCGCAATATACCCTCCGCAGCCGCAATATACCCTCTGCAATATACCTCCCCGCAATATACCCTCCACAGCTGCAATCTACCCTCTGCAATCTACCTCCCCACAATATACTCTCTGCAGCTGCAATCTACCCTCCGCAATCTATCCCCTGCAATATACCCTCCGCAATCTATCCCCCACAATATACCCTCTGCAATCTATCCCCCGCAGCTGCAATCTACCACCTGCAATCTACCCTCTGCAATCCACCACTTAGTCCCCCCATAGAAAACATATGCAGAAGAAAACAAGAAAACCTCAGCAGTACCGCCCATTTACTAGTAATCATATGTATCAACTGTCTATTTAATTCTAGTGTTCTTTGCCCTAAACAAGATTTTTGTATTTCAAAAAATATGCAAGGACTACTCTGCCAGAGCAATTTCAAAGGCAGAGCCTTGTTTAAAAAATTGCATTGCTCCAGCAGTGCCATTTGAGAAAAATATACTGCTCTGGCGGTGCCATTTAAAAAAATAATACATTGCTCCGGCGGTGCCATTTGTAAAAATGCGGTGCTATTTATGCTCCAGTGGTGGCATTTTAAACAAGAATACATTGCCCCGGCGGTGCTATTTTAAAAAATAATACATTTCCCCAGCGGTGCCATTTTTGAAAAAAAAAAAAACATTGCTCCAGCGGTGCCATTTTAAAAAATAACATATTGCTCCGGCAGTGCCATTTGTAAAAATGCGGTGCTATTTATGCTCCAGTGGTGCCATTTAAACAAGAATACATTGCCCCGGCGGTGCCATTGTTAAAAATATTTGCATTGCCCTGGCGGTGCCATTGTTAAGAAAAATACACTGCCCCGGCGGTGCCATTTTTGAAAAAAAATACATTGCTCCGGCGGTGCCATTTATAAAAAAAAAACATTGCTCCGGCGGTGTCATCTAAAAAAATACATTGCTCCGGCGGTGCCATTTTTAAAAATAATACATTGTGCCTGCAGTGCCATTTGAAAAAAATAGATTGCTCTTGCGGAGCCTCTTTGAAAAAATTCCACTGCTGCAACAGAGCTTCATTATATATATATCTGGACCTCCAACACAGCTATTTAAAAAATGTCTCCTATGAAAAGGCAATGTGTTTTTATTGGAAGGTGTTCTGCTGGTGTGTTGTATTCAGCTGTATTTCTGGGGGACATGCTATAGACAATAGTTAATGAAGGCTGCTTGTGTTTCAAAAGAAATTACAGTATCTCATCACCTTGCAGTAGGACTCTCATTGTGATTAATCATTCAGTATGTTTTTCAGTTGTAAAGGCTCACATTCATGACATTTAACTGATGACTGCAGGCCTATCACTATGTATGATCACCATCTATGTTTACATGGTACACCGCAACTTGTGCTGCCAGAGGACAGGGTGCACTGCAAATTTCCCCGCCGGTCGATACCATGCATCAGGACCGCCGGTGAGACACTACGGTGGTGGTGAAAAGGACAGCCGGCGCATGCTAGTGAGTCCCTGTAAGGATCGCGGCCGCACCATCACTAAAGGCACATCATAAGATTCCAGCCGTCCGGCTGGGCCCATATAGTATGGTGTTTTGTCACGTCCGGCTACTCCATTAGGTAAGGCACAACGTGACTAACATATGTGAAGAAGCACCCTGGATGGTCACGAAAAGTTCTGACGAAAGCTACGGGCTGACCACACAGTATCCTTATTTATTCACGCTTCCATTGATGAGAACATTTTATTCAAGTTCCACTTAAATGGAACAGGGCAGTAATTCAACACCATCACATACTTAGCGAGAACTGAACACGATCGAAATTCTACCAATGGCGCGTCCCGCCCTATACAGAGGCGCTAATAAACAAAGGCGCATTCGGGAGTCGGAAAGAAATTATCCGAGACTTGCGCAAAAAATGTCAGAATTGGAATGTTTGGCGGTGTATGTTTGGCGGAATGTTTGGCGGCTACATCGGTCCAAAACACCGGGGCGCTACGCATCCTCCTGCATCTCCCTCTTCCCGTTCAAGTACGATTCCGTGCACGGACGATTCAAGGGAACCATCGAGGCCAAGGACGGCAAGCTCATTGTCAACGGCAAGCCTGTCACCATTGTTGGCGAGCGTGACCTGGAGCTCGGCTGGTGTTGAGTATATCGTTGAGGCCACCGTGCGTCCTTCCTCTTCTGATTTAGACACTTGATGCTGACTGCCGTCTTCTGTCTAGGGTGTCTTCACTATTATGGAGAAGTAAACATTTAACATTTTCTACTAAGCCATCCTGAATGATCGTCAACATTATAGGGCTTCAGCCCACTTGAAGGGTGGCGCGAAGAAAGTCATCATCTCTGCCCCATTGGCCGATGCACCCATGTTTGTGGTCGGTGTCAACCTCGACAAGTAAGACCCTGCCGTCAAAGTCGTGCGTAGACATCTATCATCCATTTTCTTCTTCGTAATAATCAAGGGAACTACAGATCTTGAATGTGTCCTGCATGACCAACTGCCTCGCCCCTCTTGCCAAGATCATTCACAGCAACTTTGATATCATTGAGGGTCTGATGACGACCGTCCATGCCACCACCTTGACTCAGAGACCGTCAACAGCCCCAACGTCATCCCTTCGTCCACTGGTGCTGCCAAGGCCATTGGCAAGGTCATCCCTTTGCTCAATGGGAAGTTTACATATGATCTCCTTCCTTTGCCATGTATTTCCATTGCTTACTTTTGCCTTTGCTCCCAATATAGCAGCCTCGCATTCTGTGTGCCCACCTTGGACGTACGCGGGCGCTGGAATCCAGTTGAACCCGAACTTTGTCAAACTCATTTCGTGGTAAGACCAAGGGGGGTCCAGGATTTGAAAATGCCATATCGGGATGGTTAGTTAGTCCGGCTGACAGGCCGTTAAAAAAAAAAAATTACCTCCTATGTTTTTCAATCCAAACAGCCTGGAAACACCTGAAACAGCCCAAAATGTCAAGCTTTTCAATGGAGATGCCTGCAGAGATAAAAGAACCAGTATGATACATAGAAATATAAGGTTGCATGCTGAAAGATATGACACAACTAATAAAACATTACCTAGACTAAAGCCGACATCAGACAAGATGGAACTGTGATATGTCCTCATTGTGAGAGGTTCAGTAGGACTCGCAAACCTCCTTTGAAAGACACAAACCTAGTCGAGCATGCAAAGAGAATAAGCAAAAGAAAGTGGAAAGATAAGCTCCCACAAACCCAGGCCAAAGCACATCAGTTTTTCATGCTGTGAGGAACCACAGTCCCTGAAGCGCTGGGCCATTCTGCCTCTGCTGAAAAATTACTTGTCAAGCCTCAGGCCTCAGGCCTCAGACCTCAAGGCCAGCAACTAATAATGCCAACTACTGTACGATTACAACTGAGTCTTTGTGTCACACATCACAGAGGGGTTTGAATGAAGGGAAGTGAGTGTGACATCATGCATCACCACAGGTTTTGAAGTCGTTTTCTCTTGCATCTAAAATACCAATTTTTTCGAGCCTGCGGCACTCCTAGCTGTTTAGACAGCACTAGGAATCCTTAAACTAATTTCTAAGGAGACCTATCCCACCATTGAAGATTTGACTGCAAGGACAGCCTATTCTTGATTTTCTGAAGTACAGATGAAGAGATTGTACTGTACTAATACGACCAACTGTTCAGGCCCCTTGGGGTGTGACACCTTTTGACCATCTCTTCGTTGCTTCATTGTCCTGTGTGATGCGTGACAAAGAGTTTTTGCTCTTCGTCCACCAATCGTCCACCACATATTTCTCAGATGGTTTGGCCCAGCAACCTGTCAATTTTTTGGCTGGAAGGTAAGCATGCATTCCTCAAGTATGGCATGGTTCTAAATATGCCAAATGTTATGCTTAAGAAAGGCACCGCAGGTCCGGAAAAAAATGACTATTTTTAATTCAAAGAAAAAAACTCTTCAAAACTTGGTGTGATGCGTGACATCACGCCTACTTCCCTTCCTTCACAACCGTTTGTGATGCGTGACGTGAAGACGTGGTCGTATTAGTACAGTACTCTTCCTCATGCCTCACATCAGATGTTGAAGTGACGAAGAGTTGATCGAAATAGGTCATGCCCTAAACGGCTTGAAAAGTTGGTCGTAATCGTACAGTATATTCTCAGCCTTGAGCTGGCAGGTGGGACTAGCACCCATATCAATATTGCCCACCCCCTCTCAGACTCCATCATATTGAATCTTGTGTCTGGAAGCTGCTGCATTGTTGACAGAGTTGCATGCATGCATTGACGGATTTCCAAGCTCGCTGGTGATGATCAAGGGGAAGACATGATGATGTAATGTTTCCATATTTGGCAATATATTCCCACCCTTAGTTAGTTAGTCCAGCCATCGAGGCCTTAGAAAAAAATTCAACCCTATAGGATTTAAAAAAATGTTGGACCCCCCTTGGGTAAGACAATGAGTATCTATTGTTCACACTCTTTCCACCATGGGCAGTATTACATACATGTAAGTACAGATGAGATGTAAAGTGATGTAAGTCTTGTACATGTCATAAGAATACTAAGGGAGATCCCCTGAAGCACGGCATGTCTTTGAGCTGCTCAAAATAAAAATAAATTGGGGGTTGGATTTTTTCGCACACTTGGATCTCCAACTTCCCACGGGGTAGGTCATGTCTCTGAACGAATAACTACATACCCCTTGTGGTGAAGCGCGAGGCGACGTGGACTAATATTTGATCATCACATGTCTGTTGTCACATTTTCGGCCATACAGATCGCCACACAGATCGCCATACATGATCGCCATACTTTCCAATGCTGACATGCCCTTAAACCTTCCTGTTATATTTAAAGTTCAAGGCAGAAAGTGAATAACTGATCGTGATCTTGAATCTTGATGAGGCATGTGTGGCCATGTGTATAGGTGCTTGCCCTTTACGGTGACCAAACAAAGTGCTAATCTAGCTGCCAACCTTCACCAAGCTTCACCCACAACCCAATTGATTACACCCGCAGGCTGTCATCTAGGGTAAATGCATGCTCTCTTCCTGGCTTTCATACCCACTTGAAAGGGGGAAAACGCTTGCCAGAGCGTCAACCTAATTTCAAATGAAAGTACCCCAGGCCTTGCCCAGCCCTGAACTTGAAAGTAACACCTAGTATGGAGAATAGGTTGCCTCCATCGGCAGGACAAAGTGACTATCAGTCCTGTTAGACCCAGAACTAGATGCTAGATGCTAAAACTACATGACTAGATGGTTCACCCACCATAGTACATGCCGTACATGAGAATCATAAACTTACAATTGAAGGCTTTAGAAGCTTGGGCGTGTTGGTGTGTGCTTCGTAACATGATTGCTGAGGTTTGCAGCTCATTATTCTCAACAGGCAACATTCTTTGCTGGTTTGCAAGTTTCCATGCTTTCCGCGACCCTCTCAGATAACTCGTCCATCTCTGCAAAAGTCATCAATGCCTTCTGGCTTGCTGGCACATTCCTTGACGTCTTTGGAGCAATTCTCTCAACACTTACTGCATGATGGCTTGAAGTTCTTCAGCCTGGACAGGCCGAAGTCCTGGAAACGGCTTGGGCCAATCAAGCCAATCTTCCTCCACGCCAGACATGCTGGTCATTGGCTGGCATTCATGACTGGATTATAGCCAATGCCTTATTTTCAGGATTTGGAATAATCGGTGTGGGTGTGACTCTGTTCCTACTTGGCCTAATCATCTACATTTGGATGAAACAACCACTGCTTGTTTCTGTACTTGCCACAATACCTGTCGCTGTTCTTACCCCACTCCTTGCCACAGCCTTACTCTTTCCTTCTGACAGGAAGGAAAATGTCATCTATATCTTAGCAGCAAAACGAGGGGCATGGTGATGAAGTTTTTATACCAAGATAGGATGAACCTGGCATGCTATGTATCTATCTTGAGGCGACCTATGCTTATTTATACATGACATTCAGTCGAATCCCCCCTCATGGTCATCCATACTTAATTTGATATGATATATCCATATTCTATGGTACTAAAACTTGGGAACAGATTAGGCCAATCGACATGGGCCGCTTGTACATCTGAGTGGTAACAATCGACTTTATTAGAAAGTCTGTCAGAATCTGATGCCCTTGTCTATTCTCAATATTGATCAGAGAATTGAGACTAACAACCGACTTCATGCTATCTGAGCAGTGGGTGGTCTTACGCAGCTACACTAACTGGGAAAAAAGAATGTCTGGTCATTTTTTGGACAAAGTTGGTGCTGTAACACAAGAACCAAACATTTTCAGAACTAAGCTCTGGTGTATGAGGCATAGCTAAGGAGGTGTAGATTGTACATACCAAGTCTGGGGATGAATGAATGAAAACTCAGGATAAGGCAGAGCATTCACTATGACAACTTCCAAAAATGGGATTTGACAAAATAGGAAATTCTGAATGACTGCAACCTACTGAAAGCAATTCACAACTTGAGGAAAAGATATTTTGAACACTGGATCTCCCTGCTATTGTTATGAGCTTCATAAAGTCTTTGGGCTAGAAAATTTATATCCTCCCCTAAAAGGTAAATTTGAACTTGTTCTCCACTTTATGTATTTTCACTCAATATATTTGTTGGAATGAGGAAAAATGACTCCCTATTAATGTTTGTAGTGTGTATAATACAAAAGGTAGGTAGAAATGTTAAAATGACCATTGCATGATGTCTGTAGAAGTTAATTTCCAGAGTTTTTCTGAAAGTAAACAAGTATCTACAACATCAGTCCTTCTTTTCTGCAAGAAGAAAAAATGCTACCACCCTTTTGAGTTAATCCATAGAGACTCAGGATGTCCTTTAAACAACACCTGAAGTATAATATGATAGCAAATAAATTTACACTGGGTATAACTTGAATAGTCCCCAAGAAAAGTGCATTTTGCATAGAGCAATCGTCCTGGACCAATCCTTGACATTTTTCTTGGTGAATTGGGGCTGAAAATATTTCACAAGGCACTTCTCATACCTAGGAACACTATCCCAAGGAAATAAACAGAGGTCCTATTCATACAAGGATCTGAGACCCCCAGACCTTTCTAGGCCTGATTTGGAAATCTCTCTGTCATGCTTCAGTGAGCTTTGTGGGCCATTTGAGAAGCATCTGTGCCCAAAACTCAAGAGATAGGTAGAAGCACTTGGCATGGACATTTCAAAACACCCATATTAACTGTAACCCCTTGGAAGCAGGGTTTCTGGGAACCATATTGACTATATGTCTCTTAATTTTCACAGTTTCTTGAAGTTTTATTAGCCATTAAATGCTTTATTCCTGGCAATGTGGTCAAATCAGATCATGGAACAGTAATAGTTATGTATATGTACAATACTATGACAATAGATACCTTCTCCTATCAATCCTGGGCAATATTTGCAACTGCAAATGTCCAGGGAGGGGAATCAATTCAAATTCACTTTTTTGGGGAGACTATAGAATTTTATATCTCAGAGACTTTATGGGGCTTATTACAATAGCAGGGAGATTGAGTGTTTAAAATATTTCTGCTTCAAATTGTGAATTGCTTCCAGTAGGTTGCAGTCATTCAGAATTTCCTATTTTGTCAAATCCCATTTTTGGAAGTTGTCACAGTGAATGCTCTGCCTTATCCTGAGTTTTCATTCATTCATCCCCAGACTTGGTATGTACAATCTACACCTCCTTAGCTATGTCTCATACACCAGAGCTTAGTTCTGAAAATGTTTGGTTCTTGTGTTACAGCACCAACTTTGTCCAAAAAATGACCAGACATTCTTTTTTCCCAGTTAGTGTAAGTAGGCCGAAAGAAAAAGCTCTCGCCTACCAGAACGGCAATTTCGGACTTACTGGGCAGGGCCGCAACATGTGCAGGCACTCTTCGTGAAGTCGATCCATTCATCGACTCGAACATGACTCGGAGTCACAAGCCAGAAGTATTCTATTCTTTTTTTCGAAGGATGTTGTTAACAAATCATGTAGCGTCTGGATGAAATATCGTTGGGGGTCGCAAGTCCGAGTCACATATCCAATCCAAGGACTGCCGAAGAGGTTGGATAATTTACACGGCTTATTGCAGACGACGGTGGTCACAGGTGTTGGTGCCCCTGGTGAAAGATTAGGCATAAGCCTGGCAACTTTAAGACATCGGCATACTTTAAAATCCCGTCATTGACGTCAACGACGAAGAGCGTGACTAGTTGACTTGTTGAATCAGCCCTGAGGGCCGGGTATGATATCATTATGCGAGGTGAGTTAGGCACGTGGCTCGTGTTTTCTGCAGATGGCGACGTCAATCCAGCTGGGCATGCCCTGCATTTTTGCAAGGAATGTTGATTCGTGGGAAGCGTTGATAGCTTTAAATAAGAGCGAGGACAAGGACTGGGAGCCAAGCCAGCTTTGTACTCAAATGTCGACAGCTGGGCAGTCGAAATGCTCACCTCTATCTCACTGACACCCGCAACACCTCCTCCATACCGACCTGACGAACCTATTCTCTCTGTCCTATACCGGGACTACAAGGATTTTACCTTCCGCCAAACTGATTACAACATATTAGTAAGTTTCTGTTACTTCTTTGACCGAGTGGCGTAGGTGGACTAAACCTGTGTCAGTCATGGCTGATGATCCCGAATATTACCTTTGAATTATACGGCGAGAAGGAGGGTGGAAAGCTTCTTGAAGCTTACCATGAGCAATTCAAAGCTGAAGTGGCGCTTCGACGGGTCTCTAGCCCCACATTCATAAAACAAGAAGATGGAGAGCCGCCAAAGCAGGCCGAGGTGCAAGAGCTCGTCGACAGGATCGTAGCACGGGCAGAGATGGAGCTCAAGTTATATCGCCAGGTGCAGAATTGGATTGCCTTTGAGATTTTGTAATGTGCACGCGCGTAAACCAGGACACTTACATACTACGCAGATCTGTCTTTATCACCGTTTCGTGTTTTGTGTAGTTCATGCTTGTGGACCTTGCCTTCAAATCGTTCAAATACATCTCTGTTCTTGGGTAATTGAGACTTACATGGAAAAAATAGTGTTCGCTTTGGCATCGAGTCTGGCTGCTGCAGGGTCACCAAGTCGTTTGCACTTTTATGTGCGCTTGATTCTCCTGGAAACATTTGAAAAGAACCGACGGTACCAAAAATTATCTCTAAGCGCATAACCCGGAGCCATCAGGAGTGTGTGCCCAGAATGAGCATAGAGTCGTGACCAATCATGATGCTCGTGTTTGTCTCCAGGTTAACATGAACAAACTCCTCTCCAAATCCTAACCATCATGCACAACCGTTTCCCAACTCTAAAAGGATACCTCAGTGAGCCATAATCTCTCTCAACGTTGTTATTTTTACTGATACAGAGCCATTCAAGAAACGAAGTCGCCAAGACTGCCAAGAGCGGTCTCAAAGAAAAATATCGGACTTTTCACGCTACCGATACGTATTGGTCCAACGGAAATTCAGGCCCTTCTCCCCAAAGGAGGAAAAATCATCAAAAGATTTGAGTCTTGACCAAAACAATCTTGAAATCCAACCGACAAGTTACAACGGCGGAAGTGAGCTGAACGAAATTTGATTTTCGCTAGAGGGCCAGGCTCTGGTGCTCGGTCTCCCTATGAAAATTCCCTCTGCGCCTCGGCCCCATTCTACGATGGATATTCCTGCACCCCTGACAAAATCTGTCAGCGCTGGCGGGGGCATCGCTTTTTCTGCCCTGTCGCTCTGGAGTTGATTTGAAATCAGCCCAACGGCTCCTACGACTTGACGAAAATCTCATTTCAACGTATGCTGACTCCTCGCTTTTTGTGTACCTCCCGTTCCGGACAACACCCTCTGGCCTTTGTTTTATCAAGTTGGCAGTAACCTGGCAGGATCCTCACTACACTCATCGTCGCTGCGTTGCCCCGTCGCCATCCCCACTGCTGGATGCAGGTTTATGGCGAACTGGAGGGTCTTTGGGAAGCTGACTGTCTTGCCATGTCAAGGGTGTAGCAGAGATACTCGGACCACGCAACGGAAAGTGATTGTTCTGGCCAAGTTGACGACTCTCAGCGCAGCAGCACCAGCCTAGCCCATACCTAAGCCTGTGCAAGCTGTTTCATTGAGCGAATTAAATCTCCACTTCTACTCGACCTTGGCAGTCGGCGCCTCTCCTGTGGATCCCTTGATTAAGGTGATGCACCCGTACCAAATTCAAGAACGCCTCAATCTCTAAATCTTGATGGTCAACTTGAAAATCTCGTTCTGCGATGCGTCCTCTACTAACCTTCGAAACTCACGTCGCTCCATGATGATGTTCTTACATTCAAATGTGGTTGAATCCCCAATCTGGGACTCGAGTGCACCGGATAACCTGTCGTTCCCTCTGTTGACCGCGCTACCTGCTATGGTTAAGATGGTTAGATGCCGCCTTGGAGTGATCCTACATGGGTGCTTACTCACTTGACCAAGTCGATGAAATTCTGGTGGGACATTTCGAGACGTTTTGAAGATCCTGGCGAACCGGGGTTAATATTGGAGAAATTTATTTGAACCGGGGTAAATGATATGAGATACTGGGTCGTTTCACGAGTCACGGCGCACACCCCCACTGGGAAATAAACTTGTTAGCACGAAGCGGCTGGAAAGTATTGAAGCGTCCCTCAAATTCCGGGATGCGTGTGTAGTGGGCCCCACAAAGGATGAAGAACACGGTGCCGCTTGAAGCCATTTTGAATTGTTCGTTGCTGACAATTGGACGCTCACTAGCATCTCCAACCACACTGACAGCAGAAATGGATATTAGATAACCACGAGGTCCGAACGGAACAAGGAGCAAAAATAGAGAAATACAGCCACCTCTATAGAATTATTAACGGGGCGCTGACGGCTGCGATCATGATGTCACTCAAGATTGCCAAGCAAATGAGTTTCGGCACGGGGCTCTCAACATATCCCGAATCCGGATGCGAAACACTTGGGCGGTGCGCCGCCCCCAATCTTTATGATAATTCCGAGAAAAAATGCATGTGGTGCTGTGGTGGGTGTTGAGGAGGAACAATGATAGGAGAACGAATGGAAACGCACGATAAATCATCTTCTGCGGTCCTCTTGGAAACGATAAGACAAGAAAGTAAACAAGGCCAATTCCGGCCGAGACGGGAAATGCGGCGCAAGGTTGTCGATGCTTGATGGCTGTACAGAACTGTTATAGGCTGTAATGCCCTGGTATCACCACCCACTCATCCGAAGTCTGTTCATAAATAAGAAATGAACCCACCAAGCCTTCCTCCATTTTCTTTCTCGATGAACCATCCTCCGCCTGAGCCACCTTCCCGATCCTCCAGTGGCTCAAGCACGAGCTACATAGATGCACCTCCCCCTTCCTTCACGCTCTCTGACTACCAACTTGGTGGCTACACTTATCAGAAGCGGAACACCATTGAAAACGGCAAGACCGACTTTCCAACAACTACATTCTTTCACAAATCTCTCCCAGTGCTTCCACCATACTCTCGCGAGCAGGCATCACCGATCGAAAAGGACGACAGGGAGGAGGGGTATGATCCATACGACAGGAGGTCCTCATACTCTGGTGCGTGCACTTATCATCTCATGCTATCCTCATTGAACATCAAGTAGACTCACGAGGGTGCGATCCCGTGGCCACCCCATCCACATCCCTCGACCTCGCCAACGCTCTAGGGCCCGACAACAGCCCCCACACAACCGAGATCGACAGCATGCCCTGCGCAGGCGTGCGTATCCCAACGGGACCACTCAAAGGCCTGCTAGCATGGCGGCTCGTCGTCGGCGTGCCCAAATTCAAACGTCGTCCAAACCAAAAACACGGCGAAAGGGAGGTGGACATGTTCCCTGGCCCGTCGAGGCCGAGGCAGAGTTTGGATGAGTCCAGGTCCAGGTCCCCATCGAGACCACCCCCACCGCGGATGTCGACCCCCTCGCTCTCGGAGTTAAGTTCTGCGAACAGAGGCTTCTTGGCACCTGGGCTCGTTAATGGCTACAACTCAAAATCGAGCTCGGCGTTATCACTTCCGACGAACACGCCTTCCTTCCCTCCTTTGACTGATCATCACCAGCAGCCCACGTCAACACAGCAAACGCAGGAACCAACTGACGCATATACCCACCGTGGTCCTGATACCACATTCATACCAGACCCTATACCCACTTACCGATCACACCTCCACCCCCGCGAACGTCGACCCAGGCAGCTCGAACACCCCCATCCCCAACCGCACACAGACCACGGTTCGGTCGTTACAAACTTCATTCTCGACACCTCCCTCCCTCAAAACCTCATCTCCCCCTCCACCCTCCTCGCACTTGGACTTCAACCTCCCCATCCATATTCACAAGTACTCCCAGACGACTACACGGTTACGCTATTGGTGCAGAACATACCTATAACGTTCCACGTCGCTAAGCATGGCGAGGCGTCGCGCTTGGGCGTGAGGTTCTTGGAGGAGGCGAATGTGAGTCTTGGGATTGAGAGTGGTGGGCGTGGGGGTGTGCTGTATCGAGATGCGGGGACGGGGATGAGAGACGCGCCGAGGACGGTGAGCTTGACGAAGACGGGGTTGCAGGCGAGGGTGATGGCGATGTTGGGGTTGGGGAGGGGGTAGGGTTGCGGAGACGAGAGGGAAGAGGGAAGAGAGGGGGAATGTTTCTTTTGGACTGACTGGAGACTTTATATGGTGTGCGGTCGCGCATATATTTGGACTCGTAGGATTATTACCTGTATTAAAAATATGGACTTTGTATTTTATCAGGACTCCTTGACACCACACTCATTTACTAGTAATTTGTATACATCTGGAAGAGTACAAGCTCGAAGTGAGGCCGGTGTAGACCGGTGAGGGGAGATCATGATTTGTCAGCGCAACTTATTTTGCCTTTATCTCAAGGGGGTGTCGGGATTAAAAAAAGAGACCTAGGGTCGATTTTTTTTTTCTCAGCGGCGGGAGGTCGACCTACCTACTACGTAATCAGGCACCGGTCTATAGTATATATGGTAATAGTGACATCATCACTGTAGATATTTTCGACATAATTTCCCTCCTGGTGCCGTTTATTCAGGTTTGAGAGAAATGTTGTTATCACACACCTTGATCATCAATTTTTGGTAAAATAATGAACAACAAGCCGTTTTGAGTGCTTTATATTCTCCTACAAGCTCATTACGTTGTATGGTCCTCCTCAGAACCTGCTCAACCTCATTTTTAGGTGAAGTTTGGGTGATGTCCTTTTTTTTTTTTTTCAGGCCCGACGGCTGGACCTACCTACCAGCCTCCGGTCCGGCATTCTAATCCCGACACCCCCTTGCTTTATCTTTGCTTTATCTTCACCTTCAAGCTCAAGACTCAACGCCCTCACTTGGCTCTCCTGATCACTCGAATTTCTTGAAAGATTATACTCTTGTACAGCGGTTCTCGTCAAATTCTGCCAAGGCTGTGATCAGTGGCTTGTCTTCTTTTTTTTCGTTGACATTGCTTTTTCGAAGTCAACTTCCTGGGCCCAACCCGGGCCACGCGCGGGTGGTGCGCGAAAACCAAACCTGAGGTCGATGTTCAAGTTCAAGTTCAAAGCTGGTTTGGAACCCTAGCGTTGCCCCCAGCCCTCTCCGCACCCCCTAGCTTTCATCCAGGCTATGGACGATCACCTCTCCTTGCTGAAACACAGGCATGACGATATGAAACTGAGTCCAGCAGAAGTGCAGGTCATGTCCAACGCCAGTGAGTCACATGCAGAAACGCGGGTGCATCGTCAACGAATTATGCTTATCACTGAAAGCAAGATGTGCCAATCAGCGCTGGAAGGTCAAGGCATCACACCTATCCCGTTATCATCTCGAGGGGCTCTTGCAGATGCAACCCTACTCACAAGTCCTCGAAATCAAATAATTTGTTGATTACAGGCGAGACGACCCCTTCCACAGACCACCTGGCTGGGCTGCACTTCCCGGATGGCATGGAGCCGCGCCAGCCTCAAATTTCTAGGTTTTCTTGTTATACAGTTGGGACGACACCATCAGCAAAAGTTCGGGTTCCACGTAAGGCCATAAATGGCCATGAGAGGCACCAATAGGCCATGAAAGGTTAGCCTCCCTTCCATGGCCAAGGTTGGAACCTCGGCTTACATCCCCAGTGATAGACCTTGCATGGGACCGGTTTCTTGCATGGCTGTCCAAGATCCCGACCCCACGCGAGGCCATACTAGGCCATCCTAGTGAGCCCTTTCCATACAATCTTAGCTAGATTTACAATTCTTAATGTAGAATTCTGATCACTTCATATGAAATGCGGACAAAATAAATTTCTTGTAGTATCTAAAACAAAATCTGACGACGATACGAGAATGTGGCAGGCAGCAAGAAAAAGTACAGAGCAACCGATACGAGACCGAAACGATGAAGAGCGAAAAAAAGAGAAAGGGATACGCACCTGTCTAATACAGGGACCGACGTTGTAACCTGCCCCACGTCCGAAATTTGAGAATTTTATCTCAACGAATAAATGGCGATTACGCTCGAGAATATGGGCCAACCTATCAGATAAACTGCAAACGGAAACGTCAGACATATGCAGCAGTATTAAAAGTAAAGAAATTTGACTTACCGGAGTGCCGCTTAACGCGCGTTAAATGAAACACATATATCGACTGGCATTTCGAGTCTGAGATGCGGTCCGAGTCTTGTTAATAGAGAACGATGGGCGAGACGATGAGACGTACATTTTTCTGGGTAACACCAGGGCAATTTGAGCGATCCGTGGCGCGCTTGAATGGCCTGCGCGTCAAAAGAGGCGCTAAAAAGTAAACCTCCAAGTGTTAGAACCCCAAATGGGTGCGTATATGCGTGTTCGGGAGATGAAACGACTCGCGCTGTCTGAACCCATGGCGATCGAAGAAAAATAAAGGGAGACGGAGGTTTCTTGTTATCGTTGAGCGTGCTTGGCGAGAGTGCAAAACCGATCACACCGCACCTGGCTGATATTGCATGTTGAAAAGGATTGCGGTCAGGGTACGATGAAGGCTAGTGTGACAATGAAGATCAGACTTATGTAACACTTCGCATATATGCGCGTTCAGGTTATGGGATTTACTTACTGGTGAACGGATGAGTTCTCCACCCAAGGCTCATCTGACATTTGATCAGCCCAGCAACTACCACGCAGTTATCGCGAGGCACTCTACAGCTTGCTAACCAAAGACCGGCAACGAGTGCCGCAGCGTATCGTTCGTCGTCATGGCCTCTGAGAAGCCCGGAGCCGTCAGTACTGCGAGTTGTTGTAGCGACAGCGGAGGATGAGAATGGGGAGCAGAAGAATGGGGAACGACGACAAAAGGTGGTGGTGGTGATGGTCAAGAACAGAGAGCAAGAACGAGCGTTCAACGTTCAATTCCAAACGCGTGATGAATGTCATGTGATCAAACAGATCAGAGTCCGAGGTCCGCTTCCTACCCTACGTCATCGCCTGTCGTCAACCTCTTCCCTCCTTACGCACAACACCGGTACCATCCACGCATCCAACTCATCCAGCCGCTCAACTTATCTTGACGACTTTGAGAGAGGCGCAACGAGGCTACGCCGACATGCCAGGGAACTGGAGTGTGAAGTGCCTGGAAGGGCGGGGAAAGCGGCTTGTGGCTCGTGTGGAAACCGTAAATCCGCTTGTGACAGGAAGGGAGTTTGGGGAGTGGGTCGAATTGATTCTGGGCACCAAGGATGTACGTTGCTCTCGCTTTCACCCTGCAATTTTGACTTATCTGCGTTCTTAGGAGGAATTTTCGCTCCTTCAAGAACTAAGCCCATTACCGAGCGCCGCGCTCATGGCGTCAGCGTTCGGAATGCTGCTGACTTCCATCCTCACATTCTTCAATGCGATATTGGCGGCCCCCGTAGTGCTCGTGAAAAAGTCCCTCCACTGGAATACTTTCCTTTCCCTATCCGTGTTTGAGGGCCTGCTATCGCTACAAAACCACTGGGACGACCTTCTATCTTGTCGTGGACCGGATATCATGACGGACAAGAACGAACTTTAGGACGCTGTACAATCCCTCCGCGCCTTGTGCCTTCGCAGTTTCCCCGAATTGCTTGCGGATATAAAGTCGAAGGACATCAGCACCCAACTTACGGGCTATGGTATGTTCATTTCTCGGCTGCCATTGCCAGGTGGTGATCCGTATCTCTCTACAGACCGTGAGGTACATGACCAAAGTGCGGCTTCCTCAGCACTACTCGCGCTCGGGGATGGGAGCTAAAAGATGGGTGAAGGAGTCCAAGTAGGCCAAGGTCACAAGGGCGACGCTTCCGGCATTCTCAAACATTGTTGGTCCAGTCTTTGTCACAGCGAACATTACATCCAGGCGACGTCATAATTACTTTATCGCGAACCTCCCGAGGGCCGTCCAACTCCATTTTCTTGCTCAACATCTCTGATCTGCACGAACACGTCCTCATACAACCAACCAACCTGTGAAACTAATTCTATCCAATAAATATCATATCCTAGACTAGCCAGAACAAAAACTCAGCGAAACAATTTTAGGAACATATGATTTGACAACGAAAAAAAAAATTGGTCGGCAAAATATTGGGAAAATAGGCTAATCCTATCCTGGTACAGGCATACTAGGCCGGTGATAAACTACCAACCTACTTGAATGGATTATAATACCCTCGTAAATACCATACTAGGTGGTACCAGCCTTTCACTCTCCATACTAGGCTACACTAGCCTTTCACGTCCCATGCGAGGGACTCCTAGCCTGGTAAGCCCCATCCAAAGCCACACAAGGGAGACACTAGGTTAGTACAGCCATACAATATATACTAGGCCTGACATGGAACGTGAACTTTTGCTGATGACTCAAGCTGAAAAAGCTCCTCGTTGTTCTGAACGCCAGGCCCATCTCTGCGGTTTTTGGTTTCCATTTGCGGTCTGAAAATTTCATGAGTTATATCTTTTCCGATTGATCAGTCAGTGGGGTTGTCACGTATTGTTGAAGGGCTTTTGAAATCATGCAGGTATCAGTTGCTTCAGCGTAAGACAGTGGCGACGGACCACGCCCCATCAGCGGAGAAGCTTACGGTTCGCTCCTGCTCCGCCATTAAATCTGCCATTTTACGCAGTTCTATTCAAAAGACACGGTTCGCTCAAGGTAGTCCCTCGTTGGCTTTTAAAAAGCCGATGCAGATCCATGTAACCATTCAAGGGCCCAAAATCTTAGTATCGCTGGACACTGCCAGCCCAAGGTCAATACCTCCGGAAGCGTCGACATGCTACAAACCCTATTACTCCTGTGTCTATACATCATGGCCGTGGAGCTGGCTGTACATCTTTGAAATGCCACGAGTTCCTGCTAGGATTATTGTATTGGACGTTCAGCCCGGCAGACCAGTCTTTGCAAGTTGAGAGCTAAAGAGGTAAAAACAGTCATCGGGAGAAAGTCGGGCAAATTTGGAAGTCTTGGAGAGCGTTGTCGCAATTCGGAAATATAGAATTTCTATGCCAAGGTTCCGCAGCATATCAAGAGAGTCTACGTACCCTCCTCCCATCAATATCCTACAACGACTCATTTCGGGTTTATATTAAGATTTAGCTAGGTTTTGTCCTCTCAAGGTCTTCACTTTTATACGTTCGTGTCTTGTCCATACCGTTTATCCTCGTTTATCGATGTCATCGCCAAGGGGACGGTCGTCAAATCGGAATTTCTAGGTCGTATTGCCAAGGAGGGTGGGAATTGCTTGTTGATATATCAATCAGCCGGACATCGACTTTCACCATCATCTGTTTTTCCCTTTCTCGTCAGTACAAGTCGCAGTCTCGTTCCCCCTTCTTCTCCTCACCCCTACCGCCGTCCTTCTCGACGACAATTCTTTCGTTTACTAAAAGTCACTCTTTACTCCGAATCTCAACCCACACCATTGCCACCATGTTCGCTCAAGTTTTTGCTGGAGCTTTCGTTGCCGTCCTCGCTGCCCAATGTTCGCGGTTTCCTCCACAATTTGTCGTTTTTAAGACTGATCATTATTTGTGCATTCAGCTGCTGTCGCGGGTTGCGCCAGGACTTACACCGTCCAAGAAGGAGACTACTGTGACAAGATTTCCGCGGCCAACAACGTCTCGACGTAAGCCCGACGTTCACTCTTTTCGGAAATCTTCCATGACGCTCACTCGATTTCCGTTGCTCAGGTACCAACTCGCTGTTGTCAACCCGAGCATCGACCCTGGATGCGGTAATCTGTTGCCGGGCCAAACCCTATGCCTGGGAAATACTGGTGAAGACTGCTCACAGACTTATCAAGTTCAGGCGGACGATACTTGCGAGAGGATCATTACCAACCATGGTTTGAACAGCACCTTGTTGTTTACCAACAATCCGCAGATACATCAGGCCTGCGAAAACATTTACATTGGCGAGGTCAGTCTTACTTCCTTTCGGCATGCCTTCCCCTCTTCCCGAGGATGTTCCACCATGGCCAAACTTGCGTGTAGTGCCTATGAGGCCTTCATTTACCCTCGCTACTATACTTCCTCCGACATGGACGCCACGGATCTAACGCTTACGTTTTTGCGTCTCACAGGTTCTTTGCGTCGCCAACGGCGTTCATGCCCCCCCTGCTCCTGCCGTTCCCGTTACGATCTTGCCTGGTACCAAGCCCGCAACATCCAAGCCCACAGCTCCGGCTGTGTTGGCTGCCTCCCCCTCCCCCTCCCCCTCCCCAACTCATGCACCGGCCAGCGGTACCGCCCCTGCGGCCGACGACGACGACCTTCCCTACTGCGACGAGCTCTAGAGTCCATATCACGCTCACCGTCACGCATTGACTGACTGACCAGAGCCAACCGACACCACAACATTCGCATTGAAATACCATAGCATGATCATCATACATCAACACCACTTTTTCAATCATCTTGCTTTCTTCGGGGTTACAAGCATCTGCTGGTCGATCTCCGCACCCCTTTCCCTTTTTGCCCAATATACTATTCCAGTATACTTATACCTTGTCGGCACCGTCGCATACGCAGTGTTGCATATATTTTTGGCCATATATCCACCACACATTTTGTCGCTTTCAATCTAGGTTTACCCCTCTAGTAGTGGTAGTCTAGATTTTCGGTGTGTTCGTCGTACTGAGTACGATAGAAGAAGTCCCTTTCATTCTTGTTGCTTGAGATTTCCAACCGCGCTGCGACTCTACAAGGTGCGTGCCCATTGTATTATATAAAGATTGGTGGCAAGACCTCGTGACCGTGACGTAGCGTCTACCCACATCTTCCGCTTTGCTTTTGAACGGCTTCGTCGACCCCTACGTTCTTTCCTTCGTCTTTTTAGGATGGTTTCGGTGCCCCTTTTAACGCAGCCATGCTCGCCGGGGTTCTGGTAGCACATTGCCCTCATACCTTCAAGAAGCATCATATGTGTGCGCCCAAGTTGCGCCTTCGTAATGTCACCGTCGAGGAAGTGGTATGGGTCTGCGAGCTTGCGGAAGGAAAAGCTCCGCCAAAAGTTTTGTACGTTTTCAATCCAGTCAACTGGGCTACCTTAGCTCAGGGTTTTCGATTTTTGACGATTACATTGAAGCGTTGAATACCCTTGTGAGCATTCGATGGTCATTCCTTTCAACCTGCAGGCCTAGAATTGATTGTCGGTGGAATACTGAACAGCAACGGGACGTGGATCACACTGTTTTAGTCTCATCAGCATCATTGTACAAGGGAAGTCAACCCAAGCTCGAATAGCGGATAGAGTGAGTATTTGTTTTTTTTTTTTTTGTCTTCTTCAACTGAGGTTGAAGGATCGGTCTTTCGCAATGGAAAAATTGCCCAGATGAAGGACTCCATTCTTCTCATGATCTGTTTGCATTCTAGATCTTCGCCCGAAGCCCAGAAGAGGTTGTGATTCTCCCTTGCTCTTGGCCGGATTACCCCGTTCTGAGCTTTTCCCCTGAAGTCCTCCCTCGTTGAGTGTGAAGACGTAGCTTCTTGAATTACTCGCGCAGTCAGTCCATCTTGACGAGTAAGTTTGTTTCTACCTCACGCCTGACGGACCCGTTCTATCTATGTTATATGTAGATGCGAATCACGATGTGCTACAAAATAAATGCTAAACAAGGTACATCGCCAAGCACTTCGGTACCTTTTCGAAATCGTTTAAGAAACGATACATCAAGGATTATAGTTTTCCCTTCCTTTTCCTGCGCAGCTGCCTTGGACGTCAAAACGCAAAGAACTGTGGAGATGCTGTCTTCTGTCCTTCTGCCGTCGGCTCTTTGTGTCTTGAGCACTATCTTCACACCTGCGCAGGCACAATTTCAATGGCAATTCAATACGAGCGTGCGTTCCAACGGTTCATCAGCCATGACTCACGACAATTTGCTTAGCATTGCCCTTCTGCGACGCATAGGTTGCTTCCACGTCATTGGCAACATGTGTGTCGCTACCGATCACTGTGAAGCCATTCAACACTGCGCTCAGCAATAGCTCCGGAGTCCCTCCGTATTCTATGATGGCTTTCGCTGTCGGAGGGAAACCCACCACAACTTTGATTGGAACGGATGCCAACTCTCTCAGCTGGACGGTCACTCAACCTGTCGGTAAGCATCTTTTCTCAATCTCCAACGAAGCCACGCTGAACCACCGCAGGGACTCGATTGATGCTAAGCCTGGTAGATGCACAAAGTAGCGCGGGTGGCATTCCTGCAGACATTTACGAGGTTACTGGTGCGCAAATTTGTTCATGCGTCTCTTTCACTTCTATTTAATACTTTTAAAGCGGGTCAGACGACAAATTGCGTTATAACTCCTTCCACAGCGCCAAACTTCACAATCACCTCCAACATAACGGGAAGTCTGGCGACCTGCCAACATTGGGGGCTAACAATAACTGGGGGCGTTGCGCCCTATAAAATCACACTAGCATCAACAGGCGCAAGAGTTGTAACGAATGTTACGCTTCCCTCCGGTGACAATCATTTTACATATGTAAATAGGGCTGCGCCAGGCGCCCAACTTATAGGTTTGGTTCACTCAAAACCTTAGATGGTATCGCCTGCTCATTATCCTTGTCATGTAGCCGCGGCAAGCGATTCGTACGTTGCCTTGTACATCAGATACGTCCGCTTGCTCACCGTATTTTGGATAGTAATGGGCAGTGGGCGACTGGAACCCCGATGTTAACTACTCAAGGTGATTGGTCACCAGGCGAAGACGACACACCGGTTTATCATCTTGCATAACAGGTTCCTCAAACACCGACTGCAACGGCCTCAGCAGCTCAAGTGATAACTCAACGTCGACAACCTCACAGTCAACATCAACTGGCGCCCCACAAAAAACTGGATTAGCCACGGCGAACGCAACACAGAAGAACAAAACTCCAGTGATTGTCGGTGTCACGGTTGCCATAGTAATTGTTTTTATCGTCGGTGGCATTCTATTAGTTCTCTACCTGCGCAAGCGAAGGACGCGGCAGGCGGAAAAAGAAGATCCTCTTAAACCTAGACAATTTCACATAGAGGAAGAGAGCCAAAGGCAGGCGATAAATCATATACCAGATGCAGAAATTTCCCCACCCACCGGAAAGCGCCTTGCAGCCATGGTTACGTCCAGACATGCGCATCCCCCAACAACCGCTTCAAATGTGATGCCGTCAGAGCCAATGACTGCCTCAAGCAATCCATCCACCAGTGGCGTCAGTAGCTCAAATCCTAGACCCAGCCAATCGAAGCCAATGCAGAGGCCGGATGCCACAGCGGAGGATGTGGGGCCTGGGGAGGGAGAGACCACGTTTCAACATCGGGATGCAGCCGTTGTCAGAGAGATTCCTCCTCCGTATGCTGATTCCCAGAGCGCTAGCCAACCAGGTTCATAAAGCTAGTAATTTTCATTGGCCCGACGGCATATAAACCTTTCTCTCTACCTTCCGTTGGGCATTTTCCCCCTGGTTCCTCTGGCGATGTAGATTCAAATTTCAATGGTATCTCAGATGTCACTTTCGGAATAGCAATTGCACCAGACTCCAGAGGTTGGCCATCCTTCTCGCAACCATAACGGTTACACGCATTGCGCCTCGACAGACGCTTCGAATCCTTGACGGCAGTTCTCTGGTTGTAACGACAGTGTCCGTATAAACCGGGTTGAGATCGAGGAAGACGGAGAGGCGAGTGGCGTCCTCGATTGGCGTGAAGCTTGTTGAAAAGCCGAAGAGTCAGCTGAAAGCCGGATAAGCCTCGTTCGCTCCGCGTGCGTGCTCACTTTCGATCAGGCGTCAACGCGTCAACGCGTCGGCGTCGTCGAATTCGTGTGTTTGGTGATGATGGACACGTGATTTGACCAACTCCCACCTGTCCCCACCAGACTATCGCCAGAGCCGACGCCATCCAACGCCTCTCCGAAAAGCGCAGAAAATCGCATTTTGCGCCCCGCTTCCCCTTTTCGAAACAAAACCCTCTCCTCCTGGAATCTAGACTGAGTGCGTTTTCCAGGCTCTTGATTGGTTTCGGGGGGTAGCGCTTTGGTTTTGAATAGTAAAGGAACCTGGCAATTTCTGGGTGTAGTACGGGACACGGATGGGTGGACGCTGAGCTGCACTTGCGGGAGCCATGCTGTAACATCAGGTCTGTTCCGTTCAATCAGATCCTATTTCATTGCTCTCACGATGTTCTCTCGACTAGGTTCCAACACGACTACGATTGGACATTTGCGCGGGCTGGGTCGTGTTTCCTCCTTACAACTGCTAGTGGCTCCTCAGTTTAATCGTAATGCATATCATATTTCTTCCCTCTCCGTCTCCGTCACCCGATCACTAGCGTAGGTGCACACCCTACTGCCAATGAGCGTCCCTCCACCAAGCTCCGCACTCCTCCGAGTAACTTTGTTTCCACCTCAAACCTGACGGACCCATTCTGCCTATGTGAGATGTAGATGCCAATCAGGATGTGTTTCATAATAAATGATTGATGAAACAAAAGAAGGTGCATCGCCAGGGACTTCGGTACCTTTTTGAAATCGTTTAAAGACGATAAATCAAGGACGTGGTTTTCCCTTCTTTTCCTGCGCGGCTGCGCCTCGGACGTCAAAACGCAAATAATTGTAGAGATGCTGTCTTCTATCCTTCTGCCGTCGGGTCTTTGTCTATTGAGCGCTATTATCACACCTGCGCGAGCACAATTTCAATGGCAATTCAACAAAAGTGTGCGTTCCAACAATTCATAAGCCATGAAGGACGATTTGCTTAGCATTGTCCCTCTACGACCTGTAGGTTACTTCCACGTCATTGGCAACATGTGTGTCACAACCGATCACTGTAAAGCCGTTCAACACTACGCTTAGCAATAGCTCCGGAGTCCCTCCGTATTATATGACGGCTTTTGCGATCGGAGGGACACCCACCACAACTCTGATAGGAACGGATGCCAGCTCCCTCAGCTGGACGGTCACTCAACCTGTTGGTAAGCGTCCTTCTGTATCTTCAACGAAGCCATGTTGAACTACCGCAGGGACTCGATTGATGCTAAGCGTGGTAGATGCAGTAGGTAGTGAGGGTGGTATTCCCGCAGACATTTACGAGGTTACTGGTGCGCACAATTGTTCATGCGTCTATTTCACTTTTATTCAATACTGTCAAAGCGGGTCAGACGACGAGTTGCGTCGTAACTCCTTCCGCAACGCCAGAGTTCACAATCACCTCCAACATAACGGGAAATCTGGCGACATGCCAGCCGTGGGGGCTAACACTAAGTGGAGGCGTTGCACCCTATAACATCACACTAGCATCACTTGACGCGAGAGTTGTAACGAATATTACGCTTCCCTCCGGCGACAATCATTTTACATATATAAATAGGGCTCCGCCAGGCGCACAACTTCTAGGTTTGGTTCACTTGAAACCTTGGACGGTCTCGCCTGCTCATTATCTTTTCATGTAGCCGCGGCAAGCGATTCGTACGTTTCCTTGAACATCAGCTGCGTTCACCTCTTCACCGTATTTGGATAGTACTGGGCGGTGGGCGTCTGGAACCCCGATGCTAACGACCCAAGGTGATTGGGCACCATACAATGCCGAACACCGGTTGATCATATTGCCTGACAGGTTCCTCAAACACCGACTGCAACGGCCTAAGCAGTTCAAGTGATCACTCAACCTCGACAATCCTACAGTCATCGACAAGCCTTTCGCATTCAAAAACTGAGTCTGGCACCCCACAACAAACTGGATTAGCGACGGTGAACGCAACACGAAAGAACAAAACTCCCCTCATTGTCGGTGTCACGGTTCCCCTAGTGGTTATTTTTGTCCTCGGTGGCAGTGTATTGGCACTTCTCTACCTGCGCAAGCGAAGGACGCGGCAGGCGGAAAAAGAAGATCCTCTTCAACCTAGACAATTTCGCATAGAGGAAGAGAGCCAAAGGCAGGCGGTAAATCATACAGAAACTCCCTCACCCAGCGGAAAGCATCTTGCAGCATCCAGACATGCACATTCCCCAGCGACCGCTTCAAACGCGATGCCGTCAGGGTCAACCACAGCCTCAAGCATTCCATCTGGCACCAGTGGCGTCAGTAGCTCAAATTCTACGCCCAGCCAAACGAGGCCAACGCAGAGGACCGATGCCACATCGGAGGATGTGGGGCCTGGGGAGGGAGAGACCGTGTTTCAACATCGGGATGCAGCAGTTGTTAGAGAGATTCCTCCTCCGTATGCTGATTCTCAGAGCCGACCAAGTTCCTAAGACTAGTAATCCTCACTGGCCCGACGGCATATTATAAACTTTTCTCTCTACCTTACATGGGGCATATTCCCCTTGGTTCCTCTGGTTAGATTCGATGGTATCTCAGATGTGACTTTTGGAGAGGTCGGCCGTCCTTCTCCTAAGCATAACGGTTACACGCATTGCGCCTCGACAGACTCGGACTCGTGCTCACTTCGGCATTTTGGGCAAAATTGGGGCTAGAATATACTACTTAGTAGGTGCGGATTGCCTCGTGTCGCAAAGAATATTATGCTGGTCAAGACTCCAACTTCGAGTTGGGATGGGCTCGAGGGAGACGTGCTTTCAACCGGCTAGAACATCTGTAAAACTGAGTGAGAGTGTCAATGGGTGACTTCCCGTAACATAAATCTATATAAACGAATAAATCTGACCCTTATCGGAGTTTGAAATGGGTACCCTGGCTTGCGATTTAATCAAGCAAATAAACCGTAACGCCAACTGATTAGATTTGTTCACCTGACATGAATAAACTTACTTCCCTCTCATCTGAGCTGTTTTGAGGACACACAGGCCAATGGATGGGTGTATTATAGTTAATGCTCAATCATATCAGCCAGAAAGTAGGACACACAATGAATGAAGCCGAGAAAATGTCAACTTGAGCTGAACATGCTGTGGTTCTGTGAGTTATGTGCTGAGAAGATTGTTTGTGGAAGGAAAAACAGCTTCGGAGAGGAAATTTTGGAACCAGAGGACGTTGGCACTACTAATAACCTCTGTAATGGCTTCAAATTACAACGAGAGAGCAGACTGCCCTCAGCCATAGGAGAGTAGAGAGGATGAGGTAGAGCTGACTAAGCTAGGTGGGAAGAAAACGTACCCAGGAAGGAAAGGTGTCATGATGGCAGGGTTGATTCCAGTGTTTGAAATCTATTCGAGGGGTCTGTACCCTCTGAATAGATTAAGGTTTATAACTGGGTGCCAACCAGGGCCTCCATCAAAGTCGAACCCTTACAAGACTCGGCATCCTGGCAAAAGACCCTAGATCTCGTCGATTTATTTAAATCTAGTGAATTTATGTTACAGGAAGTCACCCAATAGTCCAATTCGGATACATGAACGTTGACAGTTATGATTTACCAGTCAAACAGGTTCAGTTAGGGCAGTCAAATGGGTCCATCACTGATGGGCCAGCGGCGTGTGACAGGCGCCCATCAACAGTGGGCCAGCGGACTCGGCCGAGCTGTCAAAAATTCGGCCTTGGCAATGACTGGGCCGAGACTCTAAAATAGGCCATGCGAGATGGGTGGGCCGCGAGTACAGAACCCCATAGAGGACGGATCAGCCGACTTTGCCCCTGGCGCCCATGGGTTGCGCCCAATTGTGCGGATCCCATTGTTGCGCCCATTCGTCTTTGATGCAGTTAACCAGAGTGCTGCCTCGTTAGTTTCACTGTGGGGGACCACATAGGAGAAAGTTAAATAGATATATTATTTACCTGTTGTGGGTTGCACCCAATTGCGCGGATCCCATTGTTGTGCCCATTGGTCTTTGATGCAGTTAACCAGAGTGCTGCCTCGTTAGTATCACTGTGGGGGACCATGTAGGAGAAAGTTAAATATTTACCTGTTGTACATCTGGCGCCCATGGGTTGCGCCCAATTGCGTGGATCCCATTGTTGCGCCCATTTGTCTTTGATGCAGTTAACCAGAGTGCTGCCTCGTTAGTATAACTGTGGGGGACCACGTAGGAGAAAGTTAAATAGATATACTATTTACCTGTTGTACATCTGTGTTGGCGGCAGCCTCGTTGTTGTGCCTGCAGGCAACCACATTTTTCTTCGCCAACCAGCCAATATTCCCCACCCATTTTCCCCGGTCTTGCTGCAATGCTGCAAGACTTGAGTAGTTTCAAGCTCACTCAAGAAATAGCTGACTTTCTCAAAGCTAAATTCCAGGCTACCCTCCATGGAACAGCACAAAAAACACCCTTTCCCCTGCACTGGACACTGGACCTGTTGGATGACTGCAATGGGATAGTTGTTGTTTTGGTTGAGGCTTTCAAACACCCAAGTGTGCCACGCCTGCTCACATAGTAATTGGTTGATTGATCTCTTCAAGTCCGCACAACATGGGATGCCACGAGGTATTGCGATACCATCGGCGCCGCCCTGACCGGACAAAATCCTAAAACAGAAGAGAAAATCTTGAATAGGTACCCGCCCATCTATTCACCTATTGTCCATAAAAGTTCGCCTTTTGTGGTAACGGATATGCATAACAATGGGCTGGTTTGGTATTTGCCTGACATCCTTTCAGGAGCACGCCAGGTATGTGACTATGGCCGCTGGGTGTACAATCTCAAACCCTGTTCAGTTGCAGATCTGGAAGTTCCTCAAAATTCTTGAATCAGCTTTGAGGATAGACGACAAGGCTACTACTAACTGGAGGAATCATAAAATGCACTACAGGCCTGCAGAGCAATGTCAACAACTCAAGCCCGGGACCGTGAGTTTATCGCCAGCATGGTTCCAGCAAGGGCACAAGGTGTGAAATCTCTTTGGATCCATAAACAAAGTCTGAACGATCTGCAGTCTTCCCAGTTCAAGCTTGAAGTCAGCGCGCAAATGAAGCATGGCGCTGTTGGGGCGCAGTGGAGCCTGGAAATGCAAGAGTCATCTGCTTTGATTGGCGCCATCCTGAGTATCATACATCCACAACTTTATGAGCAGGGAATGGAGGCACTCCGCCGCCTCGAGACAGAAAATGGGTTTGTGGATGATGAGGAAGAATTGTACACAGCGCTGAAGCATTGGACTCCCCCTTTCAGCGCCTTGTCAGTGATTAGCAACCGGTCAACACCAGTACACCGTGACACCAAAGGGCGCAATGAGTGGATTGATGTCCTAGTGCCTTTGGGAGAGAAAGACTCGACTGGAATCATGGATTTCCCGGGTTTAGGCATATCCATCAAGTACAACCCATCGACAATAGTTGGGGTTGCTGGCAAAGTGATCTCACATGGGGCAGTGTTTGAAGGGGGAGAAAGGGGGTGCATTTCATACTACATGCGCAATAAAGTTCATGAGAGGTTAGGAGTTCCAGCGGGCACATGGATGAACACCAGTATATATGATTGCTAGCTGCCATTCGGCGAGCGCCATTACACAGTAACTTTGCCGTTGTGGCTAGTGCGCCTGCGCCGCCTGGTAAGTTTTCAGAGCTAGCACCTGTTGGTCACAATGGCGCTGGCGCCTCTTCATCAAAATGGCGCTGGCGCCTCTTCGTCAACATGGTGCTGCCGCCTCTTAGTCACAAGGTCCGCACGCGTGGACCCTCGAAAGTCAACGGTCCTTGCTCCGCACCCAGAAGAGATATATACATGTCCTATCGCTCAAGTAAAAATTGCCTCTCAAGAGTCACCCTCATCAAGATCCATTGGCCCAGATCCATCTTCATCTCCCTCACTACCACCTGGCTGCGCCTCTCTGAAGGCAGGCCAACCATAATCACTTGCGGAGTCACCAGTGCTGGAGTGTCCTGATGCTGGCCAACTCAAGCCTGTGGAGGACACAGGAGAAGGTTGGTATTCTGGTTGCTCTTCGTCTTCAGGTTGCTGTTCAAAGTAAGGGGCGACGGCGCTCGTGCGGAGCGCCCCAGCATCCTGCCAAGGGCCTGTGGGTACAGGACCGACAGGCTGCAAGTGAATCTCCCGTTGATGTAGCCAGTCCATCAAAATCTCAATGGCCTCTATGTTGTTTCGGAGCTGGTCTTGTTCCATGCGACCACGAAAAAAGAGGTGTTGGACCCACATCTGTGCACCATGAACCTTTGCTGCTGCTGTGGCCACATGCACTGGCAGAACTGGAATGCCAGCCTCATCGTCCTCGACTTCCATGTTGGGTTCACAGTATGGCTAAACAGTAGAAGGTATCAATAAAATCGATGGACAACAGATCAAGTGTGTAAATACCTGTCCCATGGCTTCGATCCACTTACAAAAAGCTTTTTCCTCCTCATCCGAATGCGCCTTCAATAGCTTTTTCTCATTCTCACCGCTGGCACCCACAGAATTCCACCAGTCGGCCTCATATGTCGCTAGAATCGGCACCTGGTCTTTGGGCCCATATTGTGCTTTCAAAACCGCGGGACTGAGTGGTTTTACAATCCGTCTTGCAGGATTTGTTGCGTTCAATAAAGCAGGTGCCCATGGCAGTAGGTCAAGTACTCCACCCAAGCAGTACGCTTTCCCAACTTCCATGCAAAGACGGTTCTATAGATAGATTAAGATAGATCAAGATAGATGAACAGTGAACACCATGAGGACGAACAGTTTCATGCTGAATCCTCAATTTCCACCACTCTTGCCTCTCCTTGTCATCAATCCAGTTCACTTTGTCATCAGAGTATGCACTCCATGCCGCCTTGCATCGGGAGAAGAAGTGGTAGACGTGCCATTCCATTGCAGTGTCCATGATTCAAGTTGAGATTGGCACACAAAAATGAACAAGCCGGTCATGTGGTTTGGACACGTGATGGCCCACAGCTACTACATTGCCATCCCGCAATATGTTGCGCCCCAGTCTGTCACGCCTGCGGAGTATGTTGCGCCACAGTGTTGCGCTCACACAGTACATGGCGCCCACACAAGACATTGCGCATAATGCTGCGCCACGCAGTACGTTGCGATCACACAGTACACTGCGCCCACACAGCGCATTTTGGTTGCGCCCACCCAGGACAGGACGTTGCACCTGGTTGCTTGTGTATGAATTACATGACAAGTGGCTTGTAATAATGGTTGGACAATTGAAACCTGTTATCTGCATCGATGGCAAGCATATTCCACAGATCCTTCTGGCGTTCAGCATAGCAAACATGCCCAGGTTTTGCTTGGTCTGCTGCCATTTTTTGCCATGCACTCCACTTGTTCACCTGATACAAAAAGTATCTCGTCACCCATTCCATCTCATGTGACAACAGGTTGAATTCTTCTCTCCATCTGTGAAACCTGGCCCTGGCCCGAAGCCAATTGATGCGATGAACTAGAAAGGTAATCAATAATCTACTATTGAGGAGGGTATAGGGATGCTTTACACTCTACCATCCGTTCCTTGTCCTGCATATCGCCTGCCAAGTTGGAACTCCAAAACCAGGCTGGCTTTGCCCTACTTTGCCCTCGCACATTCGGGTCTGCTACTGCAGTATTTGCCTTCATGTCCTCCTTCAAGAGCGGTTTAT